TTATCGCTGTTGAAATGTAATGAATCACAGTAGAGCACCTGTTTTTCGCTGCTGTTCATCACTACATCGAATACTCAGTCGGAACTCCTCTAGAATTTACCCATTTATGTGTAGTTAAAATACACACAGGACGTAAAACATAGCAGCTATCGATTCCATGTCAAAAAAGTTGAAGAGGATTTTAGACCTTTTTAGGTATTGTAAAAAATAATGTAAAAATTCATGCCGTGAGTACAAACGTGTTATACTGATATTAAAATTGGAGCTGTTGACTGGCGATCACTGAAAGTCACAATCGACATGCAGTGGTGGTTTTCATAATCAAATACTTTATAATATTCAAAAAAAAAAATTTCTCTCTTTCAGTATTTTTGGGATGTTAAAGTAATACAGAGAAAAGTTTAAATTATGCGCACTGCACAAGCTAAGAAATCTCCCTGGAACAAGACTTACCCCTAAATTTTTCCGTGCAAAAAATTAAGTGATTTTATGTCTAGTTTGGTCCCCATGTAGTGTATCAGTTGAGAAATAATTTAATGTTTAACGATAATGCTTTAATTTTATGTTAATTAAGAAAAAGTGGGACAAGCATATTTTTTGGTAGGACAAGTAATTTTACGATGGTAACATGTCTGAGGGCAAGTACTGAAAAATTCTATTTGTCTACCCCTGCATTTGGTCAAGTGTTCTGGTCCAGGCCAGGGCTCTATTAAATTGTATTCTACTGAGAGGAGTTTTTCCCCTTTGCCATTTACTTGTGATAATTAATCACTGTAAATAATGTGCTTGAAAGGTTAATAGAATAAGAGAATTATGCAAGAATTTTTATTGTATAATACAAAAAGTACTTTCATAGTTTTAATGATCAGGTAGACTTGTAAGTAACAGATAAATAAAAATGAGACAAAAATAACTTGTCTTATTAAATGTTCATCAAAGACCAAGAGAGGCCAATGTAAGAGATTTCAACAAGGAATTAAAAGAGTACAGAAGCACTGATTATAAGTTTGTTTATATACTGTCTGGTGATAGTGATAAATGGGGAACAGATTAGAACCTAATTTATGTACTGTTACTGAACACTAGACTAATTATTTTGTTGATCCAGATCACCCTATTTTTCTTGCTTTTGGGCAACAAAGCTTGAGCTTTCAGTTCATTTTATACTCTATGGATCCTCTAAATTGTTGTATTATACTCAGGTGACCGTTAAGGCCCTTGGGCCTCTTGTTATACTGATGGTGCCAATTTGAAGTCAGTGATTTTTTTTTTATTCCATAAACACCTTTTCCTTTTACAATATTTTATTTTTTATGAATTTTATGTTTGTTATCCTTAAGTAAAGGAGTTTATAAAGCAGAGGTTACTGTAGATTGCTAAATATACATGAGGAATTAATTATCGTGTAATTCCACGAGAAGCAGCTCACGCGAAATGAAATTACTTGTTTTTATTTTTTTGGAGCTTAAATCCATTTAAAGTCTTTTGGCCAACTGTCCACTTGCGAATTATTGTTCTCGCGATTTGACGCCTAAGAGCCATTTCACGATATTAAGTACTCGCGTAAAATAAGAAATCTACAGTATTATTTTTCATTTATGATGAGAAATATTTAGACTGTTTTATATTAAATCAAATCAAATCGAGAAAAACCGAACCATATCATTCAGAACCAAAACCGAACTGAATCAATTGAACCCTGAATCGTTCCAGCCCTAGGGCATGTCATTGATAATGTAACAACCATTGTTCAAATGAAAGCTCAGAACGTTTCATTCAAAGAGAATATTTCTACCACTTCGGTGCACTGTATTGTAGCTTACACCTGTTAACAATCATTCTAGGCTGTGTAGTCACATTTTTTTTATAATAAGACTTTGTTTAAACAGCTTGCATTGATTTTTTGTTGCATGTTTTGGATATCATTTGTTGTATTATATGCCTTCCTCTTCCAAAAGCATGGTATTGAATTTATCCATTAATTGACCATATATTTTACTCATGATCTTGATACTTTATTTACCTTTTAACTGTCCCAAACAGCATGACCCCAACATGGATGTCTGAATGTGATTTTTTTCTAACCTAGAAATATTTCATTACAATTTTAATAAATTGATACAAAAAATAGAATAATTTATAGATTTTCCAAAGGAATTGAAACCCTAAAAAAACATATCACGGACACCAAAAAAACATCATGGACACCACCATCAAATAACAAGTACATTTAACATCAGTAAAAAGACTACTGAACTCTTCAAGCACAATTCAATCCACTTAAAAGCATGACATTAACACAGTGTATTCATTAATTATTTAAGAGGGTTAATTAATGGACACCATGCTTTTGGTGGGTACATACACAATAAAAATACCCAAAGGGTGCAACAAAAATGTGTAGATTTTTACAGGTTTTTACAGTGTTTGAATATTACGGATATGTAGCTCTCTAGTTTGTCTGTCTGAATTACCAAAGAGCTGCAGTTCTGCAGCTAAATGAACAGGTGTCACTTGACCTATTTTTAAAAGTGGTATCACTGCTGACATTGTCATGAAAATGGTGAATTTCAACACAATTACTTGTAATTGAAAAAAGGTCCATCACACCCATTACAGTTAAAAAATGCAATGATTACAACACATTACCATTACACATACCCCAAGTCTGGTGGGGATAAGGGGTGGGTTCAAGATATAATGACTGCAAAATATGGAACCCCCATAAGACATACTAAGTGATAATTTATAATGGTTTAAATATTACATATCAAAAATTATTGAACCATGTAAGGCTTATTTTTTTCATACAGGGTAGGAGAAGGGGTTCAAGAAATTATGGTTTTGAAATGAATTATATTTGAAATGTTGAATGATGAATAACATGTAAATATATGTGTCTCTTATTCACTATTCTTTCAGATTCAACTTCTCTTGTGTGTGGGGTTTGTAATAAGCCTTTTCTCTTGTGATATTTCCTGAATCAGCATAAAAAAGTGAAAAATGTCAAAAATCCTCAACAAGAATAAAATGTCAACTGTGGCAGAAGTTTTTCTTCAAAGGACCAGCTCAGTCAACACTGGAAATGTCCAGTCCTTTGTAGAAAGACTCATCCTTCTGGTAAATGTATATTTAATTGAATGTTCTATGTTCATGTATAGTTATCCAATGATGTACATGTATTAGCATTTCAAAAAAAAAATCATTCTTTCTTAAAATTTTAAACTAATTCAACAGTGTATACACAAAAACTTGAGATACAATGTTAAACACATTTCTGTGGCTTGAAAGTTTTGCCATTTAATCCTTTTTAGTTCACCTGAGCTGAAGACTCAAGCGAGCTTTTCTGATCAAAATTTGTCCATTGTCTGTCGGCATTGTCTTAAACTTTTCACATTTTAATCTTCTTCTCCAGAAACACTGTGCCAATTTCAACCAATCTTGGCCTAGAGTATCCTTTGGTAAAAGGGATTCAAGTTTATTCAAATGAAGGACCTTCCTGTGATCTTTGTGCACCCCAAAACTTATAATCAATGCTCATTTTGTAATAGGGATGACAACAGGTTTTTTAATGATGAACTGTTGTATCATTTTCAGAGACATCACAAACCAGGGGGCAGAAATGATGTTATCCTTTCTTGTCCTTTCATAACTAGTTATTCTTGTTATTGATTGAAGAAAGTGTTTATTGTATTTCATTATGAGCCATTCAAGGTAATTTATTTCAAGACATATTATGTAAAAGAGAGTATACAAGTATTTATTTAGCTAAATTAGGCACTTTGTAGACATAAGACTTTGTATACATAGAATCTTCTTGTATTGTAGCAAAGAAATAAAACAGAAATTGCTTGTTTTTCAGAAGATAACTGGAAGTTAAGGTGTGACATCTGCTGAGAAATTCTTCCATCCCAATGTATGTTGATGCTGCGTCATTATACTCAAAGTAGTAAAGATACTCAAAGTAGTATAGACGGTGAATATTTAATGATTTAAAGTTATTTTAAAATTACTTAAAGGAGAAGGTAAATATATGAAAGAATGAAAAAAAGACTTATCTTAAATTTTAGCTCACCTCAATGATGTAGGGGGAGCTTATGTAATACCATCTGCGTTAGCGCCCAGGTTAAAGTTTTTGGAGCAGATTTCTTTTCAAGTACTTCTATTCCTTACAATGTACATCAATCAGAGGTGCATGGAGGATGCTTCTAGTGTGTTTCATTGTACCAGTTAGGGTTTCAGATGCTGCAATTTCAGCTAAAGAATGACTAGGTTAATGTTTTTGGAGCAAGTTAAAGTTTTGGAGCAGATCTCGTTTCTAAGTAACTATAAGTCATATGTTGACCAAACTTGCATGGATGATACACCTAAGGATTCACATTACTGGACTTGCTTTGGATGTTGGATCTGAACTACATTTTTCATATGATTGACCAGGTTAAAGTTTTTGGAGCAGATCTCATTTCCAAGTACATGTAACTACATGTATAAGCCCTATATTGATCAAACTTGCATGGATGATACATCTACGAATGCGCACTACTGGACTTGCTTCAGATGGTGGATGTGACCTACATTTTCCGAATGAGTGACCAGGTTAAAGTTCTTGGAGCAAATCTCATTTCCAAGTAAATGTAAGTCCTATGTTGACCAAAATTGTATGGATGATACATCTAAGGATGCACACTACTGGACTTGCTTCGGATGCTGGATTTTACTTGCATTTTCTGGATGAATGACTAGTTTAAAGTTTTTAGATAAGTCCATTCCCAAGTAACTGCAAGCCCTATCAGACCAAAATTGCATAAATGTTGCATCTAGGGATGCACACTACTATATTATTAGTTTTGTGTGGGTTTTTGTCTTTCTTAAAGACAACATTCGTTGGGGTGAGCTTTGTAATCTCTGATTACCTATGTTTATGAATGTTTAAATTGTAGTTTTTCCTTTCATTTAAAATTATGTTCAAAGAAATAATTAGATTTTTTTTCGCAGAAGAGATGTCTGAGATGGAAAATTTATTAGATATGCAAAATTCACCAAATGGTGGTAAGGATCCTGCCATTAATCTTGTTAAGGAAGTGGAGGTCGTTGTTGAAGAAAATGGAGAAGGCAAGCAATCCAAGATAAATAATAAGTGTCAGAATGCAGTAATAGACAAGAAAACTCTCCCTAAAACACAAATAGACAGTATGACTTCTAATTCAACTTGCAACACAATCGAGGATCTTGTTTGTATTGAAGGTCAGGATCAGAAATTGAAAAGTTCCAACTCAATAGAAAATGAAGCTGGAAAAATAGATACAAAACACCTTTCTGATGAAAGTAAAGCTGATTTAGAAGAAAAAGGAATAAAAGAACATTCAGAAGATAAATCAGTTGAAAGTGTATTAATTTCATCCTTCAAATGCACATCAGTTACTGAAAATGAGAAAAAGGAAACCACATATCAAGGAGAAAAAATAGCAGAAAACAGCTGTGAGAAAATTGATGTAGAAGAAGAGGAACTGAAAAAAGGATCTGACCTTAAAAAATATTGCCATAAAGAAGAGAAAGGGAAAAAGTCAACAGTAGAAGTTATAGACATTGATGATGACAGTGATGTTGATGATGACTATATTATTGTCAGTTTTGACTCTGATGAGGAAGATAGTGAGAATAATGTAAAAGAAGATGTTTCTTCAAAAGAACATGAGAGCCAACCAAAAACAGGTTTGATGTTAAGAAATAGCAATGAAATGACTTGTGAGTTCAATGGATTAGAGTCAAGTTCTGTATCTGAAGTTTCCTTCTCAGATGATGCTATTGAACCTGTAGAAAACATAAAGGAAATGACAGCTAAGCATGAATGCAATGTAATAGCAGATGCTAAAAAGTACTCTACCATAAATGAAGCAGAGGGAATTTCAGGAGAAAGAAAAAGTAATTTCAATGAAATTAAAGATTTGAAAAAAATACAGCTTTTATCAGAAATGAAAAAGGAAGAAAGAGCTTGCTTGAGTGATGCTCAAGCAGTATATGATGATCATCAACCAATTGTTGGAAAACATGCCCAAAGCACACCATCGCCAAAAACAGATGAATTAAATCAAACTACCATTCAGACATTAATCAATCAGCTAGGATTAAAATCTGAAGTGAAGACAATTACAAACGAAGATGGTAGTGAGAAGCTGGAAGTCCATTTTGTTATGGATGAGAAGATCAATCTCAAGGAACTTGATATCCCTGTGACTCCTACTTCTGCATCTTTGACAAAAATCTCCTTTGATGAAGTTTCTAGTACAATGTCTGATGATGTGGAATTTTTGACAAAGGAAGTGATATCAGCTCAAAATAACATAGCTCAAGAAATTCAACAACCAGAGAAGAGTGAGAATAGTGCATCTCAGAGTACAGAAAAAGTTGCAGAACAAAATGTCAGCACTATTGAAAAACCAGCATTGAGATCAGAAAAATATTCTGAAGTTGGTACTCTCTCAGTTTCAACATTTGGAGATGGTATAAGAAAAAAACCAAACCAAGAGGAAGACAACAGCAAAAATGAAAAATGTGATGAAGTTGAAGATGTTGCTTCTTCAGATGTAATTTGCTTATCGTCTGATGAAGAGGAGGAAATTGGTATCCTTCCAGCTGCTAGGTATATATTTTAATTCACTATATACTGTATCAGTTAGGATTTTCCAAGTTAATTTTCATAGGATATATTATAGGATGTATGCTGTTTGCATGCCTAGTCATTGACATTTCTTAAAAGTTGTGGTACATGTACATACTTATGTCACTCTAGTATTCTAGTAGCAGAGATGAACTTATCATCATGTTTACATCATGCCAAGGAAAAGCATTCTTATGGCCCATACTATAGTGACTAAAACTCGTTTTTGATTTCTAAGAAGACTGTCAATTTCTTTGTTTTCTAGCTCAGCTTATATTTAGTAATCATTGTATACTGTAGATTTCTAAATATACGCAAGAAATAAATTATCGCATAATTACGCGAGAAGCACCACTTGCGAAATAAAATTACTCGCTTTTATTTTTATGGTGCTTTAATGTACGTAAAATCTCTAGATAAATCACCCATACGCGAATTATTGTTCTTGTGGTTTGACGTCCTTGGGCCACTTCGCGATATTAAGTACTCGTGTAAAATAAGAAATTTACAGTATGTCTGAAAAAGTATGCATTTGCAAAAAAATTTTAATAAAAAAAAATAAAACATTATATTATTGTTTTCAGGATCATTCATCAAGAGATCATTGTAATACCAGATGAAGTGTCAACAGAAGTCAACAAACCACCAAATGAAGTAAAACGGAAAGCACTTGGAAAAAAATCCATTGGAGATCAGGCCTCGGAGGAAACAACTAATCCAAGCGATCAAACAGCTGTAAATTCCAAATATTTTTCATTACAACAAGTTTCTGTGAAAGAACAGAGTTCGCAAAAAAATCAGGAATCACATGTTACTGTTCCATTATCAACATTACAGAAAGTAACTGATTTTGTAGTAAGAAGACAGTCTGAAATATCAAATTCAATACAACAAGTTTCTGTGAAAAAACGGAGATCACAAAAATATCAGGAATCACATGTTACTGTTCCATTATCAACATTACAGAAAGTAACTGATTTTGTAGTAAGAAGACAGTCTGAAATATCAAATTCAAATTTGCATACCCAAAGAGACATACATCCTCTCTCAGACAACCAGTCAGCAATGATGTCAACTATTTTAGAGAACCAGCCATCTTCATCAGCAAGCCAGTCTCACTTGCCAAGTCCATTGAATGCCATTAATCTGGATCCAAAGGATACCACATATACTTGTTACATATGCAGTAAAAGATTTTTCAAGCCTGAGCTTATTCAGCAGCATCTAAGGAGAGTTCACTCGTATTATTCCAGGGCGATCTCCTCTGATTTATTAGAAGGGTTCTTCTGCTGTCATTGTAAAGAAAAATTTGCATCTTTCCATGAGCTATCAATTCATGAGAAAACTGTTCATGGTTTCAAGTTTTCTTGCCCGCTATGTGGAATACTCCAGAAAAATAACCATCTTCTTATGAATCATGTTATTGACCATCTCTCACCATGGGTTCTATGTTGTTTGCTTTGTAACCAAGAATTCAAGCAGGATACAGAATTTGTGGAACATGTTGCTCTACAACATAAGAATAAAAAACTGAATGGAGCAAAACGCTTAAAATGCTGTATTTGTAATCAGATTTTTGCGCATTTAGAGACATTTTATGGCCATCTTGCACGTGCTCATAAAAGACTTTTTGAATATTCTTGTAGAGTATGTCTTCAACGATTTTTTACACAGAGTGCACTTAAGGTCCACAGAAGTTCTTTAGATAACACTCTGGGTGGCTCAAGAGTGAAAATAGCGGAAGAACTCTCGATTGACACTAGTTTGTTAGAGGTTAAAGTGGATAAGTACATCTTTTTGAGAGACGATCACCGTCGGTATTTATGTAAGCGAGACAGCCCATCAAATAATACATCATTTACAGCTAAGGAAATGGGACAAGATTCATTGGACAGAAGCAATTCAAACTCGACACTAACAAATGAAGGAACTTTGTATCATACTGTAGTATCAACAACAGAAAAGAAAGGGGAAAATGAATATCACAATTTGAAACAATCAGCAGTCAATTGTGAAACAAAGAAAGATAGAATTTTAAATAATTTGCCAAATACAGACGTTGCAAAGAACAGTCAAAAAATTACTATTGAACACAAGTCTGTCAAAGAATGCCAAGAAAAGAAAGAGGAGTATGGTCAGTTTGAAAAAGGACAGGCTATTCAAAATTTGATGATAGTTCAACCAAACATAGGTAAATTCTGACTTACTGATAAAGAGCTACATGAGGTATATGTATATTTTCGGGGGCATATAGTTTTTGCCCTGTCCGTCCGTCTGTCTGTCTAGCTGTCTGTCTGCAAAAACGTTAACCTTGCCCATAACTTTTGATTGGTTGGAGCTATGGCTTTCATATTTCACATGTATATTCCTTTTGACAAGACCTTTGTTTGGGTACCATCATTTTTTACCTTGACCTTGGAGTTTGACCCACTTTTGCAAAATTTTATGAGACTTTAACCTTGGCCATAACTTTTGAACAGTTGGAGCTTAGGCTTTCAAACTTCACATGTGTATTCCTTGTGAAAAGACCTTCCTTTGGGTACCAACATCTTTGACCCTTTGACCTTGGAGTTTGATCTACTGTTGAAAAAAATTTAACCATGGCCTTAACTTTTGAACTATTTGTGCTAGGTCTTTCATATTTTGCATGTGTACCCCTTGTGACAATACCTTTCTTTGGATACCAACAACTTTGACCTTTTGACCTTGACCTTGGAGTTTGACCTACTTCAATTTTGAAAAATTTTAACCTTAGCCATAACTTTTGAAAAGTTAGTGCTAGGGTTTTCATACTTCACATATGCATTCCTTGTGACATGACCTTCCTTTAGATACCAACAACTTTGACCTTGACCTTGGTGTTTGACCTAATTTTGAAAAACTTTAACCTTGGCCATAACTTTTGAACAGTTGGTGTTGAGGCTTTCACACTTCACATGTGTATTCCTTGTGACAAGACCTTCCTTTGGATACCAAAAATATGTGTATCATTTGTGACAAGACCTTCCCTTGGGCACCATTTGACCTTGACCTTGCCGTTTTACTTACTTTGAAAAAACTTTAAACTTCGCCATAACTTTTCAACTGTTTATACTAGGGCTTTCATATTTCACAGGTATATTTCTCGAGACAATACCTTTCTTTGGGTACCAACCTTTTTGATTTTTTGACCTGGAGTTTGACTTGCATTTGTGAAACTTTAACCTTTGCCATAAGCTGTCATACGGGGGCATCAGTGTTTCACAAACACATCTTGTTTTCATTGATATAATTTTACAGTAATGTATATTAAAAGAGAAATTCTACTTCTCCCATGGCTGTAATTATCAAGTACTGGACAAGGAGAATTTCGATACAGAAAACTGCATGTCAAATTAGAGATAAATTAATATAATGAGTTTAGTGTGTGAAGATTCAGGAATATGCATATCAAGTTATTTTTCCAGAAGTTCTTTTTCCCCAATAAATCTGATCTTTCAAAATTTCAAAAAATCAAACAAAAAAGAAATGAATTGCCAGATATTAGAAATCTGTATCATGTTTAGCATTGCAGTTTGAATGTAATCATAAGAAATTCAAAAGCAGGGATTAGAATGCTTCATTTTGGTATATGATATCTGATAAAAATTAACAGCATTTGCATGTTGGTGTGTCTTGCAAACTTTAAGGTTTATAGGTTGATTCAATTAGCATTTAAAAATGATTGTTACATATAACCTTAAAACTGCCAATAATATTGTTTTTCAACTCTCTAATCATGGAATGAATTTCTACCAAAAAAATCGAGACATGCGAAAGCAGAGAATTCAATTTTCAGAATTCCAAGTGAATTGTAGGGTCAAAATACTTAAAAATTTGATTTATTAAAAAAAAAAAAATTATGCTCCGCCTTGAATATGGCTGGGGCATATAGAGTTTGTCATGTCCATCTTCCATCCTTCAGTCTTTCAGTCGCACTTTTCATTTAGCTCAGTTCAAAGCTCGGTTTCAAAGAAACTTTTCCAGATATTTTTACCAAACTTCTTATGCTGATACATATTAATGAGAGTTATTCAACTGCATCAACATTTTTTGACCTTGACCTTTCCTGTGACCTTGACTCATTTTTCTTAAATTAGTGTTTAGCCCAGTTTTAAAGAAACCATTCAAAGTAGTGTTATCAAACTTAATATGCTGATCTTCATATGCTGATACATACTGCAGAGAGCAAAAAAAAACTGTTGACCTTTGATCTTTCCTGTGACCTTGACCTCATTTTTCTTAAATTTGCATTTAGTTTAGTTTTACAGAAACTGTTTAAGATATTTTTATATAAGTTTGTGCATTTATACATAATTTGGTGAAAATTTATCAACTTTATTCAATTTTTTAGATTTCGCTTTTAATTTAAAGAAACAGAAACTATTCAAGATATACAGTTTGTTGTATTCATAAAACTTCATACACCAATACAGATTTTCATGTTGCAGTACTAATATACCCTTAGCGGGGCATTCATGTCCTATGGACATGTTTCTAGTTTATTATCACTTTAGTAGAAATAATAAAATTTATGCATGGGAAAATTCCTTACCATGTTTATTTGAGCTTGCTCAAAACAGTCGGAAAAAGAAAATGGTAGTGTAAGTTAATTTAAAGTATTTTTGTTAAAACAAAAGGTTACTGCTCAATGTCTGCTTAACCCTGCTTTTTAACCTATTTTTATGAATATCTACACGATTCAATATAAACCTGTATATTTATCATTAAGTTTTGTGTTTACAGCAAGAAAGTATATCTCTTCTTCTTTTTTTCTTCAGGAGATTCTGTTGGTCTAAAACGGAAACTGTCAGAGAAAAAATGCTCTGCAGTTGCTGATTCAGGCAATGGAGATGAAGATATGCAGACACGGACTCCACACAAGCGGATGAGGCTTGATCCACACAACCATATAATGGCAGGAATGAATGGTTGCTCAGAGGTAGTTCGTGAGTCTAATATCCAAAGCAATGGAGATAAGAAAAAATCTGGCGCATATTGTAAAGATATTCTAGATAGAATCCCTAATACTGTTTGTGATCTCATAGATCAGGAAGTAAGGAAAATGCATAGAAATTCAAACAGTATTGAAGAGATGAAAAATAAACTTCATGTTACAGAGCCACTAAAGGAATCAAAAGCAGATCATATTCCAAAAGAACTGGAAAATTCGACAACTGGTACAGATATGTTCTTCAAAAAAGTTAAAGATAAAAGGTCAGATAGTCCGTCTCGAAGCAGTTTTAAGTTACAAAAGCCAATATTAGCTCCGAAAGAAGACAGAGAAAATAATTCAGGGTATAATGACATCGACAGTTCAAGAAAAAATACAAGTGTTCTAGGTTTGGAAGTTAAAGACAAAGTTGACAGTTTGGAAGAGAAAAATGAAACATCTTATGGGCTAATATCTCCAAGTTTCAGTATTTCTTACAACAAGGAAAGCAATCAAGAAATGCCAGTCCATCCTTTGCAAAAGACAAGAACTCCAAAGGAAAGAAGTGTGCATGCTAGTTCATCAAAGACTAATAGCTTATCTAAATCAGTCGAAGTAGAAGAAGTTATATCAGATCTGATAAGCTTTTGTAAAAGGCCCAACACTTTAACACAAGTTCCATCAAATGAAGAACACTCAAAGGTCATGGTTTCCATTTCTTCTGAAAGTAATGAAATTACTGACATGGAAACAAAAGAAATTGTGAGTACTGGTACCGTATTGCAAAGCGGTATTAAAAATTACAATGATTTAGTGAAGGTTGCCAACACAGAATTGAATCTGGAAGGTGACAGCTGCCGTAATACCTTGAAGAGCTCATCATCTCCTGTAGAGTTGAAAAATGGAGAAGTGTCTAGTAATCAGTTGACCACTACATTGGATTTTAAAAAATCTCAAAATTCTCTTGAAGGCAAATCGGTACTAACTGTACAAAAAACCAGCCCTTCACTGTTAATGAACAACTGGAGGGAGACTTTAGAGAATGAGAAAGGGAAGTCAATTCTTTTTATGCATCCAGATTTGAGGGACTTTATCAAACTTACAAAATGTAGATCATCTCCCCATATTTTGGCAAAAGTTAATAAACTTTTGCACAAGCAAAAACCTGTTCAAAATTTATTTGAAAAAGGTTCTCCAAGTGAAGAAAACGACTGCATTCGCATAGGTGACCGAAAAAATTTATTCGCTGATATTAAAATTACTTTAGAAGCATTCGAGTGTATGTCACCACATAATGAAATTAATTCTACTGATTCTGAAAGCCACAAAAAAATATCCAAAACAACCAATACAAATGTTCAATCTAGAAAAAGCCCAGTTACGTCTGTCGATTCGAAGGAATTTACTTCACAGAAGCAGAGCTTGTATGTTTATAACCAAAGTGACCTTGACAATGCAGTGAAACGATTGAGTTCAGTTGTAAAAGCTATTTCAAAACGAAAACTAGAGGAATATGATCCACCAGATTCTAGTGAAGAGCAGGCTAAAGAAAACAAGCAGAAACATTTGAAAATGACATGACGTGTATGTTTCTAAAACCGGAAAGTTATTAACAGATATTGATCAACCTGAGTCTTCTTCAAAAACTACTTCTGAGATTCCTACAAATACTGTCATGTGTAATAACCAAGAAAACGGAAAGTCCAACATTTCCTAAAAGTATCCTAAAACTATGTCAAGTCTATAACATAGTACAATTGTTACATGTTCTTTGTAATAAGAAAACTAATGCATATTTTGTAGTTAAGGAGAATGTGTAATTTAGAAATATGACATGTATGAAATGAATAAGAGAAATGAGGGAAAATGTCATAACATTTAAATCAGTTGCTTTAAATACAAATTGTATGTGTTAAATCTGTTGTTTTAAAATACATATCAACATAAAATGTGAAATGAATGGGGTTTTTTTATTGCTGGTTTATTCTTTTTATTTGTTATTCATGTATCAGGGATATTAGTGATTAGTTACTGGAATTCACAGAGATTTCATTTTATGATTATATTTCTATATTAAAAATAAAATTCAAATTTTAACTTTTTGTTAATTTTCTTTAGATCTACTGGTCAGAGACCAGAAGAGCTTAAATGCGATAGTAAGGTGTTCGTCGTCCGTCCGTCTAGCTGTCCATCTGTGTGTAAACAATTTTTCAAAACGCTACTCCTCCTACAGTTTTGGTCTGATTTCATTATAACTTGGAACAAAAGTAAACTACACTAAGTGCATCGGTTTTGATTTGGGTGAACGGTGTTGCCATGGTTACAAAAAATAGAAATTTCTGTGAAATTCTTTAAAACGCTATTCCTTCTACATTTTTGGTCTAATTTCAATATAACTTGACACACAGGTTTACTTCACTAAGATACATAATTTAGTGCATCGGGTTTTGATGAACGGTGTTGCCTTGGTTACTAAAAATTGAAATTTCTAAAACAAATTCCTTTAAAACGCTATTCCTCCTACAGATTTGGTCTGATTTCAATATAGCTTTGTATTTGATAAAGGGCCTGCTATTGAAAAACTACAGTGATAAATTCAATAACTAGTTATCTTTGCTCTAACGAAAAAGGCGAAGATAACGAACAGTGATCGATCTTTAGAAATAAAATCTATAAACAAAACAAATCTGTGAACAGGGCATAAACACAGACCCCCAGAAATTCCAGAGGTGGGATCAAGTGCTTAGGAAGAGTTAGCATCCCCTGTCCCACCCGCCATGAGCCCTATTTATTGATCAAGTAGACGGAACATTATGTAGTCAATTTAATATAAAAACAAAAGCCTAACAGTTGGTAAGAAACAAGGCAGTCAGAGTACGATCCAGTGATAGGTTATAGTTGCTAACAAAGTCATTTTAACGACAATAGAATTTACGAGACGCTGACTTTAAACGAGGTTGAAATCCCTGTAACATCAACTTTTCTTTGATTAGCCTGCCTCGGTTAAAAAAAAATATCGTACTCAGAACGTGCTCTTGAGTATATCTAATAAGTTGGGAGACATAAACACCATGTGCAGTTGAAAGCGGAATATAACATGTACTACATTAAAAAAGAGAGTTGACGATGGAAAAGCTGAAGTCATCTCGTTTGTCATACAATTTAGTTGTTAGTTGACCCTCATCATGCTTATCGTCTATAGTCAGTAACATCCAAATATGAAACAGATGTGGCAATCTAGGTGGTGTCTTTTATTTCAAGTTCACTGGAATATATCAAGTCGACATATGAACGGAAATGACTATTGTTAACTGATAAAACGTCGTCGATATACCTGAATGTGAATTTGAAGGCCAGGGCTAGTGTTTTCTTCTCATGTAGAGGTGTTTGAATAGACTCTGCTTCATAGGAATATAAAAACAGGTCAGCTAATAAAGGAGCACAATTAATGTCCATCAAAATTTCAACAATTTGTTGTCAATGAGGAACTCCAGCATCCTTTTAATATCAACTTCAGATTACTTGTGTGTATAATCAGAGTGATTTTAAACGAGGTAATTTTGCTGGTGACCAATCACAAGATGTGAAATTTTTATTGAAGAATCAGTTGTCTATGATATCAAAAAGCCGTGAGGAATGGTTGTATATAGAAAAGTAGTGCGTTTTTATGTTATTGACTTTTGAAAAATTTGGTGACTTTATATTTTCTAAAAGTTCTTTGGAGTTTTTAAGAATCCACATCTGGTATACATCACTTCTAGAGTATGCTATTACAAAGTACGTCTGAAGTTTCTCCTTTACAGCAATATTGGAATGAGTAAAAACAGAGGCTTGCAGGTAGAGCATTTGCTGAATCCTGCAATGTATCTTTGTATAAAGTTTAGGAATCCAGTATAGGTAGGGTTTCACATCAGAACGTCCACCACAAGAACAATCCCAAGCGCTACCTATTCCCAGATGGAGTGTATATGGTCTTCCAACTTTGAAAATGAAAACTAAGCTTGAAGCATACTTAGAAGATGTTTTTATATTTCTTATCATTTACCTGGATCTGTCCATTCTTTTCAATTTTTTTTTATTTAAAAACAAGACGAATTAAAAAGTTTTGATGAGTCAAGTTATAGATGAAAAATAATCCGTCAAGACAAATAGCTTTGAGACAAAAAACGGAAAAGCTGAAACTATCCGTTCGCCTGAATAAATAACTGATCGTGTTTCGATGTTTTTTTTTTTCTTTTTCTGCGAAAACGGTCGAAGCCTGTTCATTCTGTGTGAGAAAGTAAACCTCGAAGAGAGATGGAGAGAGAATATTGATAGTAACATAAACATTCTTTGGTGGCCTTCAAGTTTGATACTTATAATCAACCATAAGTTATGTGTGCCAAATCGTTGATTTAGGAATGAATCTTTGATATAATTTTGAAAATAATTCTGAATCGTCATTATTATAATTTTGGAAGATAGATTTACACAAAAATCTGGAATAAAATATCACTACTTAATCAGACTAGCTTTTTCTCGAATTACATTAAATTTTCATAAACAAAATACATGTACTAAACTGTAGTGTATGATTATTTTGTCATGTACGTTTATTTAGCTAGAATGTTTATCCAGGGAGGGGGGGGGGGCATAGCTGGGGACGACATTGAGGACGAACGTCTACATATACCATTCGACATAAATATATCGATATTCCCAAGATCCAGAGTTTTTATTATAGGTCTGTGCAATTCTTTCGATATTTCGGTATATTGCAATTCATTAATAAAAATATCGAATTGCGATACGTTTTTCCAGTGCCGATATACCGGTAAACTGCATGGGCTTAAAATGCCTTGAATAAGTAAAATATGAAATTTAATATAATTATCAAAAACGTTTTCAATCGTCCCAAACAAAACCAAATGGTAAGGTTGCTGTTGTATGGTTACATTTCGTTTCAAAACTGTATAGAAATCAACAAAAAATGTGTAACAATGTATTTATAATAGTTTTACACACGTTGCTTATACATGTCGATGGAGGTAAATAAAAATAAGAAAGGGGGCATTTCAACTGTCATTGAAAATATTGCAATTCATATCGCAATACAGATAAAAATATTGCAATATATCGCAATACGAAATTTCCTGCCGATACCCAGCCCTAGTTTTTAAATAACCAAACAATGTGCAGCACAATTTGAAAGAAAAACTAACCATGCATTAATAAACCGCACCTTTTTGTTAGCGAAATTGCTGTGACCCACATTTCCTGATATTTAAGCTATTTGCAATTTTAAGGTATCTTCATATTTCATACATTAAATCTGGAAAACAAGCATGGAGACGAGGAGACGTGCTCAGAATAGAAGACAACACTCTTCTTCATATTCCACTGACGGAAATTTAACTGCTGCACAAGCTGTTCCTCATAATAGAGCTGGTCATACAGCTTCTCGATGCACTTACTGCAAGTATTTGCTTATTTTGACGATTATTTTAGTACTAGTAATTGCAGGAATTATACTATTCTTATCAATAAGTGAGCCTTCTTCAGAAAATAGTGTAAATACTCTTTTTAACAAAATCCAAGTCACCAACTCCGTAAATTCAGATTTATTTTGGGGAACGTACAGAGCTAATCTGTACTTCGGTTTAAAGACTCGTTCACCCAAATCTCCAGTTTTTGGTTTGATGTGGTATGAACAGCCTCAGGAACTTCCTGATGGAAAGGACCCAGGTGAATATTTTCCAAGCATAAGGCATTGGTGTGATGAGAATGATGATCTCATATATGGATGGCTTAAGCACGATGGCGTCAATTTTGGTATTCAAAGAATAATTGAAAAAAACTTTACATTCAATACTTCATTTGTGAAAAAGCCCGGTGGATTTCATGGAGGAGACTGGACAGCAAGGATCACTGCAGACTCAAAGGTGTGTGTTGGGCTTGTTTTTAATATTCTTTGTTTTGTTAACGTTTATCCTATTTTATCAAAAACAACACGATAAAGGAGATGGGGAACTAGGCGTGAAGAATACCCATATCTTAAAATATATAAAAATCATATTCAATTTCTGAATTTAGTATTTAGAGTAAAGTTGTCATAATTGAAATTCATGAAATTATGTCAAATAAAACTTTTCTAAGGAAAATTTTCTCGGCAAAAATTATTCTATTTATTCAAAAAATATTCTTGGGGTTCGAACCCCTAGCAAGAAATATCATTTCTCTTTGAGATTAACACGCTAACCACTACGCTATACAACTCCTGGGCCCCGTTTTACAAACGAACTTGCGCTAAGAACGAACTTAAAATTAATTTTGCAAATAGCTTTCCTTTTTCGTTAATATGAAAATGGTTTTAATCTTTCTAAAAAGAATTTAGAAAGATATATTTTTGCTGGGAATTTGTAATCAAATCATTAATTGTGCAAGATTTTACAATCACCTGAAGTTTTGGTCTCAGTCGTAAGTTCTTTTGTAAAACGGATCCCTAATGAGTAGTGGCATTTAAATCATGTTTGTGATATGACCCTTGACTAAATGGACTTCAAGTATTTCTATGAAAGATATAAATATTGTGTCATAAAAGTGTATTTTTTAGGTATAGTGGGTTTTTGTTCCATGTTTTTGTTAACCAAAAAAAAAAAAAAATATTTTTCTGCAAACTTTGAGTATAAGAATCCAGTGAGATTTCAAATAAAGTATACCTTAATGTTAGATGAAATATCAAAAATAAATTGTTATATTGAGATTTAATTTTTCACCTTCATATTTGTCGCACCATAGACATTTCGCTCGCCTTGTTCGCCCATCTTCTTTGTTTTCATTGTTGTAAAAGGTACATATCCGTATTTTTTATACCCTAGGTATATATAATTTACCATGACATTTAAGTAACTAATGATAATGCAAAATGTATGACTTTTTCAAGAAAATTATAAAAAATTTCACCTGTATGGAGATATTATGAATTGCCTTCATATTATGGTAAACACACATCCTCAAAGGACTTGACACCATTATGACAGATATGTGGAACCTGCTGATTGACCATACTTTTTAGTAGCATAAAACATGTTTTAACTTCTATTCATAACATATTTATTATTTTAACAGTGTGCCATTCATGTGTCTTATTTTATGTACATTAAGCACTAGTCACGGTGTAACATAATATTGTGACCTCATCGAAGTGCAAGGGGTCATGACTACGCACTACACTGAGATTCTGAACATCAATACATTGACTAGCCTGAAATGATTTTTAATTTTTTTTAAAATTATTATCATTTGATACCAGATTTCTGTCCCATCTCAACATTATCCTCCTTTATGTTAACAAACTTGAATCTCCGTGACTCTGGAATTTTCACAAATAAATGTAATAAAGTGTCGCTGTACTACTTTCGAAAAATATTTCTTAATTTGAAATACTAGTACCTTTTTCAAAAATCTGAATATTCCTATGTAAAATATTGTAGCCTGCATGCACACTACTCAAAGATGCGCATTTCGATATGACTAGTCATGAGTAATGATGAACCCGATGTTTTGGTGAATATATTACCTATATATTTCCATGAAAAACATCATGATTCACTTTGTCAATTGATTTAACTTTTTAAAATATGACATCAATTGGGGTTTTCATGGCCCCACTGTTCTGATGTGTTTTATGAATTAATTCTTTAATTCCTACAGTTTTGATTGTTAAGACAATGCCTTAAAAACAACATGAACGCAGATTAATGCCATTTGCAGAACAAAAAGATATCGATATCTTTTAAACTGTAAGGGCTGTGTTTGCTTGTCTCATTCTGTCTCATTTAAATACTAGATTTTCTGACACACGACCTTGCGCCCTTACCTTCTATGGTTAAATGCATATTAGTTCCTATCTAACAGAGCTTCACGATCAGATAATGCCTAGCTGGTAGTGTCTAAAAATGTAAAATATCATTTAAAATATCATTCATGTAGTATTGATCGGGGGTCATTTTTCGACGTAGACAAATCACCCCCCATGCGTAGAAAAATGTTTTGACTTTTTTATAAAAAAAAAAAAAAGAACGGTAGGGGTCAGTTTTCTACCTGTCCAACCTATAAAAATTGACCCCCCGTTGAAAAATGACCCCCATCCCAACAGAATGATACAAAGTTTAAAAGAGGTGATTGATGACAAGGTTTCGGTCTCAACGTTTGATTCTCTTGTTTTTTTTTTTTTTTTTTTTTTTTTTTTTTTTTTTTTTGTTTTGTTTTGTTTTTTGTTTTTGTTTTTGTTTTTTTTTTTTTTTTGGACAAATATTGGGCGAACAAGCAATTAAAATGTAATATAACTGCATTACTTGTGTTTAGATCTATTATTATAGTAGACAGGAATAATACCTATTTGGATATTTTACTAAAACACTAATGGCAAACTAACATCAAAACTTTATGTAAAACGTGATGCAATATATCATTTTCACCTGCATATGGAGTTTATATCTCCCAACTGAATTGATACGCAAGAGCATGTTCTACGTAGGAACAATTTCTAAAGCGAGGCAAGGTATTGATGAAATGTATGGAGATAACAAACAGTATTCAAGCTCAAAAATCCGTTAAACAATTCAATTTTTGGAGCAGAGCAAAAAACGGACCTCTAAAACATCAGAGGTGGTGCTCGTATGTACATGGTGCCAAAATTATCTCCCTACCTCACAGAACTGAAACCAAGAATGGAAAAACTTGCTGAAACCATTAGGTTTGTACACTTTTGTTCTTATGCATGGAGAGTAATCAAGCTCAAAAGTCCATTGAAACAATACAAATTGGGAGCAGAGCACACACGGATGTCTAGCTAAAAGTATCAGAGGTAGGATCAGGTGCCATGGAGGAGTGAGCATCCCCTGCCGACCGGTCACACCCGCCGTATGCTCCTTGTCGTGATCGGGTAATAGCGGAAAAATCCGTCGACAATTTAGTGTGTAAATAATGGCCTAACAATTAGTATGAAAAACGTCAGTCACCATTTGACTTGATGATATATTGTATTTGCTGACAAGGTCATTGTATGTAATGTATGGAACTTACGAAATGATGATTTTAAACGAGACTGCTGATATTCTAGTTTCATCAACTTGTTTGTCAATAATTTACCTCGTTTTAGAAATTGGTCATACATAAGACATGCTCTTGCGTATCGAATCAACTGAGAAATATAAACCCCGTATGTAGGTGATGAGGGTATATTGCTGCATAAGTAAGGGAAGTTGACGATTGAAAAGTTAAAGTCATCACGTTTTTCATAAAGCTTGGTTGTTAGAGTACCATTAACGTCTTTTTCTGGTAAAATAAACAAATATGAAACAGTTCTGTCAGACTCTGTGGTATTTTTTATTTCAAGCTCACTGGGATATATCGTATCGACATACGAATGGAAATAACCATTGTTAATTGACAATACGCCGTCGATATGTCTAAATGTCGAGTTGAAGGTCACAGCAAGTGTTTTCTTCTTTTCACGTACAAGCTTTTGAACAAATTCTGCTTCATATGAATACAAAAATAAGTCTGCTAATAACGGGGCGCAATTGGTACCCATGGGAATTCCAATAGATTGTTGGAAGACCTGTCCAAAAACAACATAGATATTGTCAATCAGAAACTCAAGCATCTTTTTAATATCAACTTCAGAGTACTTGTGTGTACAATCAGAATTTTTTTTAACTAAATACTTTTGCAAATGACCAATGACAAGGTAAGTAAATTTACGAGTTCCATTTTTATTGGAAAATCAGCTGTCAATGATATCAAAAAGCCTAGACTTTAATTTACCTAAGGGAATGGTTTTACATAAAGTTGAAAAATTTAAAAGTTTATGTTGTTGATTTTGGTATAATTTTGTGATTTCAAATTTTCCAAAACTTCCTTGGAATTTTTAAGTATCCACATCTGATTTAAACCACTTCTCGAATATATTGTTGCACAGTACTCCTGGAGTTTCTCATTCACTACTTTATATTTTAGTGATATTGACTTCTCGAATATATTGTTGCACAGTATTCCTGAAGTTTCCCCTTCACTACTTAATATTTTAGTGAGGTGTAAAGAAAGAGGCTTGGTAGAACATTTACTGGAACCCACTATGTATCTTTGTTTGTAAGGATTTTTATGAAGTTTCGGAATCCAATATAGATATGGTAATTCAAATTCATGTTGGTTGTTGGGAATATTAAAAATATTCAAAAGTGACATATGATTTTGAAGCATTTCCTCTTTAGAAAAGGAGCTATGGTATAAGTTGGATTGTCACTTGTTGAATTAAATCCCAGTACCTCTAATATACAATTTAAATCATGAGCCTTACAAACAAAGACATTAATTGTTGTTACATGCTTTGTCAGCAGGGATATGTACATACTGGTCTTGTAATCTATTTAATTCATTTTTCACATCTGAATTATTGAAAACAGAAGGATAGTTGGTTTTCATTTTGCCCCTCAATCGCTTAATGTGATATTTTAACATATATCCGATACACTTTATCCACTCTGACAACGTGTCAAGGTCTTCAAAATCCATAATTCGTGTATTTATGAGATTTTCACGCCTGTTAAAAGATCGGGTTTCCCTAAATTTCGGCCCTTTTAAAATTAATGATTTAAGGTCCTCAATATTAACTATATTCACGTCACCGGTAATAACGTGTCCAGCAGGACTCTAGATGTAGGGTGAAGAAGAACATGAACAGGAAGGAGGATTATGTATCAGATGCTCAATATCCAGGCTCTGTAAAGTTTTCTTGTAATTAAAAAGTTTGGAAGCAATAGTCGATGTATATTTGTAGGAAATACAAGATGTACTCTTCAACTTGAAATATGGTGAATACAAGACTGGACCCTTTTGTGATTAATAATATTATTTATATTAACCGCGTCAATTCCTTTGTTGGCATATTGGAGTTTAAGGAAAAATCGGGATGTTTTAGCTGCATTTTCTTCTGTAAAACGTGGAGGTTCAAAAAGCAACTACTTGTAAAACACAGATCCGAGCCTGTCGAGGAATCAAAAAATAGACTTTCCTTGACCTTTTCAAGTAGACTATTTAATTTTTTTTTTCTTTTAGAGAGAAGAGGAACCAGTGATTGTGTCTTTTCTAATGTATGTTGCCTTAGATGGCCAAGGAGAGTTGACCGCACATCTCGACTCAACAAAGCTTGAGTATATACAAGGGGAAACAAATGAGCTTGACAAATTTCGAATTTCTTTCTCCAAAGTAAAAAGGTCTGAAAATTTTAAATACCATTACCTTAGCACTCAAGCGCCCAGTCTTCAAAATCTTAAGTCAATAGTCACCAGGAATCTAGTGAAAGATTACATGGAAAATAAAATCTTTGTTCTCAAAAATCTACAGACTAATGATAAACCTAATTTCGTAGTGCATCAAGTGACAGCAGAATTACCTTTTGAAATTGAAATAATTTTTGAATCTGGTAGCTTTCGATTTTATGACAAAGTTTTAAAAGACAATGTTTACTCTGAAGAATTGGAAAAGTATGCAAAAGAATTTGATACCAGGTTTTCCAAGATCTTCCAGCTTAAATCAAAACGTTATAAAACTGATGATATAAACTTCGCAAAGGAAACTTTAAGTAACATGCTTGGAGGAATAAGTTATTTTTATGGAGAGTCGCTCGTTAAATCGGTACAAAACTCTTCTCTAATTGAAAGAATAAGATCGCATTTTGATCGAAAGTCATTAGTTCAACCATCGCACAATAACACACCAGTTTTATATGGACCAGCACCTCTGTTTACCTCAATAACGTCAAAAACTATTCCTAGAGGGATTTTATGGAGTGTCGGGTTTGATAATCTTCTTATACATCTTTGGAATCAGACAATTACTAAAGAAATAATTTCTCATTGGTTAAACTTGATGAATGTCGAGGGATGGATTCCACCAGTGCAGGCCTTGGGAATTGAAGCTCAAGCTAGGATTGGTGAGATAATACAGCATAATAACATTGCAAATCCTCCTACTATATTTTTGGTTATTGAAAAATTCTTGTCAGATAGCAGTAATTCAATGACTCTTTTCTTGGAAAAAATCTACCCGAGACTTGAAAAATGGTTCAACTGGTTACATGAAAGTCAAAAGTCTCGAAAACCTACCACGTACTACTGGAGAGGAAGAAATAAAACTACCAAAATAGAACTGATTCCGCAAACCCCCGCTTCTGGACTGGATGATTATCCAAGGCCATCCCATCCTTCTGAAGATGAAAGACATGTGGATCTTCGATGCTGGATGGAACTTGTATCAAGAGTGGTAGCAGATGTTGGACAAAGGGTAGGTGAAAATACGGACACATACCGCAAAATTTCCGAAAACCTACATGACAACGATTTGTTGAAAAAATATCATTGGAATGCAGAACAAGACTTCTTTAGTGATTATGGGTCTCATACTAATTCGCTCGAGCTGGACCAAAACAATTTGGAAAGGATTGTATTTGTAGATCCTAAACCTCAGTTTGTTGAAACTTTTGGATATGTTAGCTTGTATCCATTGATGCTAAAAACCCTAGAACCAGGATCTTCTCATCTAAGAGATAGTCTTCTTGACATTACTAAAAAGGAATTGTTGTGGACTGAATTTGGTTTACGTTCACTGTCAAAACATTCCCCTTTTTATCAGACAAAAAATACAAAATTTGGCATACCGCATTGGCGAGGATCTATTTGGATTCACATGAACTATCTTACTCTTAGTAGCCTTTATCATTATGCAAAGATTCCTGGGCAACACAGAAGTTTAGCACGAAGCATTTATAAAGAATTACGAATAAATATAGTAAATAATGTTATCAGACAGCAAAGAAAAACAGGCTTTGTTTATGAACAATATGATGATACAACTGGAGAAGGAAAGGGGACTTACCCATGTAACGGTTGGTGTTCACCTGTTGTTAACATAATGGCAGAAAATTATTAAACATTCTCAGTTCCATTGTAAACAATGTTGAATCAACAGAATAGCTATTTTTCTTATTTTTTTTTTAAGCAGTGGGATAAACGTAAATACTTGTATACAACAGATGAAATGTAAATTCTATTCTTTTACATATATATATTGTCTTCACTCTGATTTCTAGAATGTAGTAAAACTAGTTTTGCAACGATATACTATGTGCATTACATGCAGTGTCTCAATATTTTTTTCAATAAAAATTGTATTTTTGTGTGTTGAATACATTTTAAATTCATGATCTTGGGACCTTGATTAACCCCCGTATTTTGTGTCGCTTTATGGGAACTTGTAGACTGAAAAAAACAGACCATTGGAAACATCAGAGGTGGGATCATGTGCCGAGCAGCAGTAACTTTCCTCTGTCAACGGGTCACATTCGTCATGTACCCAGTGTATCAATTTATTGATCAGGTAAATGGGTCTAAAATGGTATGAGAACAATGGCCTTACAATTGTTCTAAAACGTGCCCGTCAAAAATTGCCCAAAGATAAACTCTATTTATTAATAGGGCAATTATAACGACAATAGAAATTGAGAAATGTTGACTTTGAAGGTGATGGTTGAAACCAAGGTAACAAGAACGTATTTGTCAAAGCTGTCTCGGGGTACAAATAGATTCTACACCAATGATGTCCTTGTGATATAAATACAAGTTGGGAGACATAAATATGTAACGCCACAACGAAAAAGTTCAAGTCATTTGCATAAGCTATAGTTGTCAATTTTTCCTTGGAAGACTAGACACAGTAAAATATTGAAATATATGACGAATGTGGTGTGCTGTTTTGTGTTTTTGCAAACTAAGTCATATTGTCATGTGGTTTAGTTGTTAGTTGGCCATTATCGTCTGTAGTCAGTATAACATCCAAATATGAAACAGATGTGGCAGACTCATTAGTGTTTTTTATTTCGAGTTTACTTGGATATATCGAGTCAATTCACGAATGAAAGTAAATGAGTGTAAATTGATTAAAGTCTAACGTCCTATATATCTAAATGTGGCGTTGAAAGCCACAACAAGAAGTTTTTTCTTCTATCGCGTCCATTGAATTTTAACAGTCTGTTTGAAACTTAGTCTCCAAAGCCCACATAGATATTGTAAATGAGTAACGGAACTCCAGCAACCTTTTTTTTCATAGCAACTTCAGAGTTCTTTTATGCAGAATGATTTTTAGCAAAATATTTGAAGAAATGAAAATTTCTATTTTTATCAAGAAGTTTTCTGTGATGACTCTCAAGTTGCTCTTTAATTTTATTTTTTATTTTTGATGAATGGTTACATAGAAAAGTCGTATTTTTTAAGCTATTGATGTTTGAAAGGTTTTGAGATTTTAAATTTTTCAAAAGTTCTTAAGTTTTAAGAATTCACATTTGATTTACACCACTTCTTGAATATGGTGTAGTATTAAGCTATCTAAAGGAATGAAAAACAAAATAAGCTGCAAAGTTCCCATTGTTTGACCAGTAACAAAGAGAAGAAATGAAGGTTTGGACTTGCCGGCCACTTGATGTTCATAAGTTTCTCCTGAAATGACTAACTCAGCCTCAGTTGAAAATTGAGTCTTGATTCAAGTGACATGAACTTTGCAATGCGATAGAGACTGTTATATATGTTTACTATCCATTTGGCAATGAATCTATGTTCACTATCAGATTCCTACATTATATTGAAAGTAGAAATGATCACTTATGATATAGAGCATGTTGAATGGCCAACTATGCCCCAACTAAGACCTTCTTTCTGGATCCAGGGGAAATGAATTTTAGAATTTTGTCAAAGTATTAGCTGCTTAGTGCTCACTATAATTCTGCAACAAGATTGCCTGCTGTATGTCAAAAAGTATAAAAATCAAAAGATGCAAAGTATAATAGCATTTTCAATATATGACCAATTTAGCCCCAACCCGTGGCTGAACCCTGGACGGGGTGATATGAATTTCAAATAATTTTGCAAAATGTCCCATGGGACAACTACTGTCTGTGATTATGCAGATCTTGCTCCTTTTAAATTTAAGTCCATGGGATTAAGTTCACATCAATTTCATGTTAATACCAACTGAGCTACATCCTATGGCTTCAACCCATTCAGGAGACATGAAATTCACAATTTTGATAGAGGGCTAACTGTTCGTTAAACTTATTTAAATAGTTTATTCGTTAAATATCCATGAGAATGGAAGACAAATTTTCAAAGTTACAATGTTGTTTCAAGAAATGACCGACTTGTCCCTATCCTGGGGCATGAATTCTCAATTTGGTAAGTAAAGATCTAATGGCTTATTTTATTCATGCGAAGAGTTTACCTGCTGGATGTCCATGAAAATAGATTACTATTAAAATAAAAATAGTTAATTTTCAGTTTATAACTAACCAAGTCTAGACTTTGGGTTTGAGTCTAGGGCCCAAGGCCATAGATTTTACAGTTTTGTTAAAAGGCTGAGTACTGATTGTAATCATGCAGAGTTTACCTGCTAATTGTTCATAGGTAAGAGAAATTCAAAAGTGTTATGAAGTCTCAATAACCATTAACCAAATTACTTCCACCTTGTGGCCTGAACATTGGGTCATTCACCTTATTATTTTGGAAGTGGGGTATTTGTTTATTGTTGTGTTCCCAGAAATCACTGATATTTTTCTTATGATACATTTCTCTAAAATTTTGGATTAATAACATACAATATAATTTTTTACCATCATTTTTTTTTTATTTAATGACAATGCCTCCTACTTTCTTAGACTGTCACGTAGCTCATTCGGTAGAGCGCTCGCTCCGTGATCGGAAGGTCGTGGGTTCGAGCCCCGGCCGCGACTGACCTAAGTCGATAAAAAAAATAGGTATCAACTGTTCCTTCGCCAAGCGCTCGGCACTTTGAAGTGAAAGTTGCGGGTCCTTCGGATGAGATCTTAAAAACCGAAGCCCCGTGTCACGGCAAGCGTTGGCACGATAAAGATCCTTCACTGCTCAATGGCCCTGAGTGCCGAGTATAGGTCTTAATTTGAAGCCCTTCACCGGTATATGGTGACGTCTCTATGTGAGTGAAAAATTCTCGAGTGAGACGTAAAACAACATACAATCAATATATCCTACTTTCTAATGATGATAGCCTCCCATTTATTTTACATACTTCCTGTTGTATGCTAATGTTCAAAATAACTGCTATCGAAAAAGGAAAGCATATTAAAAGGGGTTCGCTCCTGAGCTTTGGAGCAGATTTTTTACTTGACCTATATTTCAAAAATTCTGCATAATGTTTTAGTTCTTACTATGAATTTGGATTCTACAATGCCAATTGAACTATTTTCAGTTAAAAATCCATGATTAAATTCCATACCAAAAGCATTAAGTGATGAACTGTATTTTGTGGCGGAAGGGTTTTTAGAAGAAAATGATCGTTTTTCTCTTTTGAAGTATTTAAAGTTTGGATTCCTGTTTTTCCATGTAGCCTGCACACAGAGTTATTTTGCGCCGAGAACTGTTTTATGCTGGTCCTAAAGTATATATTAAAAAAACTGTCATGAATTCTATTATATAGCAAATTTATTGTGAAAATCCAGAAAAAATAGCCCTTATTTAAGCTTAAAATTAACACCATTTTAGTATTATTTTTTTTAAATTAACATCACAGACCCCCAATTTTATTTTTATTTTTTTATTTTTTTTGAATATATAAGATACTTTTAACCATTCTTCTTAAATTCAGTAGAATGTCATTACTTTCAAATGATTTTTTTTCTTGCTTATTCAATTTTTTATGCCAGAAAAATTACATTTTTGAGTGTAGAAAGGTCAAATAATTGACCATACGAAGTAATTTGAAACTTTTTAGTTGTCACAAATTTTAATGTGTCTATTCAAGATGAAATAAGACTAAGTTTGTTTCCATATTTTATTTGAATAAAAAAATATTGGAGGAAAAACTTTAAAAATTAATTTAATGTTAGACGTACATGTAATTACGTCTGCTAAACGGCTGTGTGATGCGTACAGTGTGTGTGTCTGTCTGTTTATGTGCTTGTCTTTCTCGCTTTCAGCTCCAGCCCTGGCTAGCAGTTCGCTGCGGAAAGAAAGCAGAATATATAAGTCTTATCTGCCAGGTACAGCCTCTCCACAGTTAGACCTATGTGGTCCAGATATGGAAACCTCCCCAAGGTAGCAGATTGACATTGGGTACCTTACGGCCCCAAGCAGAACCACAGGGTCTTGGAGGAGATTAGGCCCCTAGATGCACGGCATGCATGGTCCACCGGTGAGTGGATATGCCCTGGTGCCTGCAAACCTAGCCTCCTACTAAGGGACAAATAGCCTCACTGGGAAGGCTTGAGAAAGTCAAAGGCTATGGAAGAAAATTCAGACAGAAAATCCGTGTAGATGGACACGAAAGAAATGAAGCGCAATCATCTAAGGTAAGGACAAACCTGAAAGAAAACCACTGGCCTTCCGAGTTCAGGGGGTTATGCTTAGGGCCAGCAACCCTAACATGTCAAAAAAATGCAGCCACAGAAACCTTAACCAGAGATCAAAATGATGGAAGAAGGATTGAAACCACTCAGAATACTGGTAGTATGACGGGTGAATTTCCCACTCTGATAGGTGATGTCCTTCGACCAAAAATAACACGTAGAGTGGGCTGCTGGGACGTGCGTACCCTCTATCAAACAGGAAAACTGGCGCAAGTAGTGAGGGAAATAGAGCATTACAAGATCGAGCTCCTTGGAGTAAGTGAAACTAGATGGACAGGTAATGGGTCTAAACAACTAGTGACAGGACATCAAATACTCTACTCTGGAAGAACTGATGAATATCATAGTAGAGGGGTAGAACTAATCATAACAAAAGAGGTTTATAGAAGTCTACTAGAATGGAAACCTGAGAGTGAACTGATCATAACAGCAAGATTCAGCTCAGCTTTTGCCAAACGTACTGTAGTGGTGCCAACAGATGATGCAGAAGATGATAAAAAATTCTCCTTCTGTGATGGCTTACAAGAGATAGTAGACAATACACCATCTCACGATGCTCTGCTTATCTTGGAAGACTTAAATGCAAAAGTTGGGAAAAGAAACCAAGGCAAAGAAAACAACATGGGTGAGCAAGGATTAGGAGAATGTAACAGCAATGGAGAGAGGCTGTGCACTTTCTGCCAAGAAAACAACTTGATAATTGGTGGAACTATATTTATGCACAAAGATATCCATAAGACAACATGGAACTCCTCAGATGGTCGTACGAAAAACCAAATTGACCATATCATCATTAACAAGAGATGGAAAAGTAGTCTTTTGGATGTAGTTGCAAAACAAGGAGCTGACGTGGGAAGTGACCACTCATTAGTATTGGCTAAAGTCAAGTTGATGTTAAGGAAATCAAGGAGAAAAAAAATTAAATACCGCCTTCAAGTAACACCCAAATGCTAAAAGACACAAAAATTGTGAGATCTTTTCAATTAAAAGTTCAGAACAAGTTTTCGGTTCTCATGGAACACACAGATGAAATTGATATGGAAACATTTAATGAAGTATTATTAGAAAATGCTCAGCAACAACTTGGTCCAAGAAAGAGGAAAAAAGAAGAATGGATCTCAGATAATACATGGAAAATAGTAGAGCAACGGAAAGAAAAGAAAACGAAAATCCTGTCCATTAAATCATAGAGACAAAAAAAAAATCAGCTCCAAATAGAATATCGGACTATAGACAAAGAAATAAAACAGAATGCAAGAGCAGACAGGAAGGCATACACAGAGAAACTAGGTAACGAGAAGAACAAGCAGCTTCTAAAGAAGATATGCAGACCCTCTATCGAATAACAAAAACACTAGCAGGTAAATTTCAATCACCAGATTTACCAGATAGAGATAAAAAAGGAAATGTATTATCGAAAGAAGAAGACATACAGAAACGCTGGAAAGAACATTTTTAGGAAGTGTTCAATATTATTGGTACAGAAAATAAGGTCCTAATAACGCCAGCCATAGACGCATTGGACATTAATACAGATCCACCCAGTGAAGAAGAGATGAAAAAGGGAATTGCGAAACTAAAACATGGAAAGGCTTCAGACATTGACCAGATAAATACAGAGCTTCTCAAGGCCGAAGAATACTGGACACCTACCATCTTGACAAATATTCTACAGAAGATATGGGAATCAGAAGAGATACCAACTTTCTGGAAAACAGGCCTTATAGTTAAACTACCAAAAAAAGGAGACCTCTCAAACTGCAACAACTATAAAGGGACAATGTTGCTCTCGGTAACCATGAAAGTTCTACGCAGAGTGATACTTAAGAGAATCACAGACATAGCAGATCCCCTACTGCGGAAAGAACAAACAGGTTTTAGAAAGGGAAGGTCATCTGCCGACCAGATATTCACTTTCAGACAAATATTGGAGCAGAACAAAGAATGGAACTCTCCTCTTTATATCAACTTTATCGACTTTACAAAGCTTTTGACAGTGTTAATCGCCTAGCCTTAGAAAAAAATTTCAGTCATTATGGGATCCCAGATAAAATCATCTCCATCATTAATATGTTAAACACAGACATAAATGCCAGAGTTTTGTGTGGATCAAACCTATCAGAGGAGTTTAAATTGAAGACTGGAGTAAAACAAGGATGTCTGCTGTCCCCTCTTCTCTTCACATTCTGCATTGATTAGATCATGCGAGAAACCACCAAGAATAAGCGGACGGGAATCAGTTGGGCTATGTCAGAAATGCTTGAAGACCTAGATTTTGTAGATGATATAGCACTGCTTGCTCACCAACGTCGTGTTATGCAAGAAAAAACCAACCAGCTAGCAAAAACAACAGGAAAGATTGGTCTGAAAATAAACAACACCAGGACTATGATCATAAATGTCAACACTAAATCAGACGAACCCGTCACCCTAAATAATATAAAAATAGAAGAGGTCACAGACTTTGTCTATCTAGGAAGCAAGATCACCACAGATGGGAACTCTGAGGTAGTTGTACTAGCTCGGATTTCTAAAGCCACGGGAGCGTATGTTGCACTGCGAAACATCTGGAGGTCAGCAAAGACCAGTATTAATACCAAAATTGGGATTTTCAAGAGTAATGTGCTTGGGGTCCTCCTGTTTGGTGCTAAGTCATGGAAAGTTACAAAAGCCATTTCAAACAAATTAGATGCCTTCCAGACCCGTTGCCTTCGCAGAATATTATGCATTTACTTGCCAATACCATCTCAAATGAAGAGCTGTACAAAAGGACTAACACCACTCCTATAAAGATAAGAAAATGGCTGTGGATAGGACACGTTTGTAGAATGCACCCAACCTCCATCCCAAGGGTTGCATTGAGATGGACACCAACTGGTAGTAGAAAGAGAGGAAGACCAAATGAGACATGAAGAAGATCGGTGGAGAAAGAAATTAAAGAAACAACTGGTCATGGGGGCAGGTCCAGAGATGGACATAAGATAGACCAACCTGGAAGTCTCTGGTGATGGTCTTATGTGCTGAGCAGAACGAAGAGGACTAAGTAACATGTAATTACAGTGCATAAAGGTCATTGACCCCCATATGTTGTTTTGATTTTTAATTAAGGTATGTACGAAGATTCTAAAAATGTACTTGATAATAGATTCTCATTGCTTTTGATAGCAGGATCCAACCTCCTTAAATTACTAGTATGTATTAGTAGTGGGTTGTTAAATCTGACGATGTTCCTGAAATACCGAGTATTTCCCCATCTACTTTGTATTATGTGGTACAAAATGTTAAAAAAAGAGGAGGAATTCAGTTAAGGAATATTTTGTAGGCATAGTAAACTAACATTCATATATCAAAGAATGCTTGGATATTTGCTCAGTAAGAACAACACTAAATGTAGAAAAATGGGGTTTCATTCCTAGCTTTAACAGCTCGATCTTTCCCTCTGCCGAATTCTTTTCCATTTCTCAATATTTTGTCCCAAGTGAATCAATAGTAGAAAGTGAAATACTCAGTGTTTTAGAAGTATCGCTAGTTTTGAAATGTTTTGATAATAGATATCTACAATAGGCTTTATTGAACATTAGCAATATTACCGGAAGTACTAGTATAAAAAATGTAAAGCTATTCATGAAAACTGCATATAAAATAAGAAAATAGCAAGTACTGTCATTTGATAAAAATCTATTTTCAAACTGTAAATATTTTTAAAATATTTTGAAAAAATATTTCACTAGAAAATTCTCAATTATTTCTGGGAACACTAATTATAAATAATCATGCCAATATTTTTTTCTCCTTTATCTCCAAAAATAAAGCATATTTCTAAGATATTATGCATATTTAGTACATGTACAATGTATATGCTAAACTTAACCTTAACCCCACACTGAGCTTAAACTCTGAACTCAGTTCTCATGAATTTCACAATTTCAGTAGACGGTTCGGTGCTTATGATCATCTTGACAACAGTTTGAATTACTGCCTGATGTCCAGAAGTGTTTGAGAAGATTTCTGAAGATTGCAATAATTTTCTCGGTTTTGTCACACCCGTCAGGTCCCCAAAAGAGGTCATGAAATCTATGAAAGCTATATGCCAGTTTGATGAAAATGACTCAGTCGCTCCATAGAAAAAGCTAAAAAGGTTCAAACGTTTACGAACGACGACGGACGAATAACGTACATGGCCAGTTTAATGCTTCAAAGAACCTTTAATCTTATCAATATGCGTGAAATGAACATTGTTGCACGAAAAATTCAATTTCAAGATTCATCTTGAGACATTCAATTAAAAGTAATTATAAGAGTTATCGTTCCTGGTTGAGGAGCAGATATCAAAGCTTGATGGAATTTGTGTCGTTTGGTTTCAAACCACGCAGAAACCATATTTTTTTTTTAAATACCAATTTAAAAGTTATTTTTATGCCCCCGTAATCGAGGATTCGGGGGTATATAGTTTTTGCCTTGTCCGTCTGCCTGTCTGTTTATCTGTTAATCTGTTTGTCTGTTTGTCCGCAAAAACTTTAACCTTGCCAATAACTTTTGATTGGTTGATGCTATCGCTTTCATATTTCACATGTGTATTCCTTGTGACAAGACCTTCTTTGGGTACCATCAAATTTGACCTTTTGACCTTGACCTTGGAGTTGGACCCATTTTTCAAAATTTTACCCAACTTTAACCGTGACCATAACTTTTGAACGGTTAGGGCTTGGGCTTTCATACTTCACATACTTAATCCTTGTGACAAGACCTTCCTTTAGATACCAACCACTTTGACTCATTGACTTTGACCTAGGAGTTTGACCTACTTTTAAAAAACTTTAACCTTGGCCATAACTTTTGAACAGTTAGGGCTTGGGCTTTCATTCTTCACATATTCAATTCTTGTGACAAGACCTTCCTTTATATACCAACGACTTTGATCCTTTGACCTTGACCTAGGAGTTTGATCTACTTTTAAAAAACTTTAACCTTGGCCATAACTTTTGAACGGTTGGGGCTTGGGCTTTCATTCTTCTCATATTTAATCCTTGTGACAAGACCTTCCTTTATATACCAACGACTTTGACCCGTTGACCTTGACCTACGAGTTTGATCTACTTTAAAAAACTTTAACCTTGGTCATAACATTTGAACGGTTGGGGCTTGGGCTTCATACTTCACATTTGTAATCCTTGTAACAAGACGTTCCATTTGATACCAACACTTTCACCCTTTGACCCTGACCTTGGAGTTTGACCTACTTTTAAAAATCTTTGACCTTGGCCATAATTTTTGAACAGGTGGTGCTAGGGCTTTCATATTTCACAAGTGTATTTCTTGTGAGAAGACCTTACTTTGGGTACAAACATGTTTGATTTGAGAAAGTTTAACATTTGCTATAAGTTGCCATACGGGGGCATCAGTGTTTCACAAACACATCTTGTTGTTAATAAAATTTCCATGGAAAGAATTTTTGTTTAATTTTTATACCCCAATAATTGCCTTATGGAAGTAATTAAGCTCCTTAGCATTTGGATTTCAAGTTTCAGAATAAATACTAGAATCCTGAAAAATGTGTATTTTATTAGATCTTCAATTTCCTAAAACATTGTCTATAGACAAGCGAAATCAATTTTATTAAAAGACAGAAAGTCAAATGCTTTTTCTGGGAGTTTTCTATGGAATTTTTTATGCCCCCGTATCGAAGATTCGGGGGTATATGGTTTTTGCCCTGTCCGTCCGTCTGTCTGTCTGTTTGTCCGCAAAAACTTTAACCTTGTCCATAACTTTTGATTGGTTGGAGTTATGACTTTCATATTTCAGATGTGTATTCCTTGTGACAAGACCTTTCTTTGGGTACCATCATAATTGACCTTTTGACCTTGACCTTGGAGTTTGACACACTTGTGCAAAATTTTATGAGACTTTAACCTTGGCCATAACTTTTGAACAGTTGGTGCTAAGGTTTCAAACTTCACATATGTAATCCTCGTGACAAGACCTTCTCTTGGATACCAACAACTTTGACCTTGACCTTGGAGTTTGACCTACTTTGAAAAACTTTAACCTTCGTCATAACTTTTGAATGGTTGGTGCTAGGGCTTTCATACTTCACAAATGTAATCCTTGTGGCAAGACCTTTGGATACCATCAAATTTGATCCTTTGACCTTGGAGTTTGACCTACTTTAAAAAATCATTTTGAAAATGCCATACCTTTTAAACATTTGGTGCTACGGCTTTCATACTTCACATGTGCATTTCTTTGGACAAGACTTTCCTTTGGATACCAACAATTTTGGCATTGACCTTGGAGTTTGACCTACTTTTAAAAAACGTTAACCTTGGCCATAACATGTGAACGTTTGGTTCTATGGCTTTTACATTTCACGAACATGTGTATCACTTTTGACAAGACCTTCCCTTGGGGCCCCATTTGTCCTTGACTTTGACGTTTTACTTACTTTTAAAAAACTTTAACCTTCGCCATAACTTTTGAGCAGTTGGAGCTAGGGCTTTCAAAATTCACAGGTATATTCCTCGAGACAAGACCTTTCTTTGGGTACCAGCATTTTTTATCTCTTGACCTTGATTTTGACTTGCATTTGAGAAATTTTAATCTTCGCCCATCGTCGCAAACCACTACCTAAATGTACGATCCTCTCCCGTAGGAGAGAACTATATATGCAGACTCCGGACCGTGGCTTGAGATGATGACCTTCACCATAAGCTGCCATACGGGGGCATCAGTGTTTGACAAACACATCTTGTTTTTTCCTGCAGAAGGATTTCAAACAAGAAATGCATCCATCTTATAGTGGCTTTTAAACATCGCCAAAAATTTCGTAATCAGTATCACAGGAGTTCGCATACCTATCAATTTTACCGAAATTTTCAGGTATTACGTATTTTTTTTTATTTACTAAAAATTTCGGTAAAATTGATAGGTATGCGAACTCCTGTGTCAGTATGCACAACTATTTTTCAGACATCAAATAAAAAGTAGAGACTGAGACCTAAATTAACGAAATTAAAAATAAACATTGCGATGTTTTAATAAAATACATAAGGTTAAAATTCGTTATTTAAAACTCCAGGGAAAAAATTCATCTTTTCATTACATTTTATTTATAACCTCCATAACTTATCTTGCAAAAATATACCCAACTTTAACTTTGGTCATAACTTTCGAACAGTAGGTGCTAGGGCTTTCATATTTCACGTGTGTATTCATCGTGGCAGGACCTTCCCAAGGGTGTAAATATTTCTCAACTTTTGACCTTGACCTAAGAGTTTGATCCACTTTCAAAAAACTTTAACCTTGGCCATATCTTTTAAACAGTTTGCACTAGGGTTTTCAGATTTCACAGGTGTATTCCTTGTAGGTAGATCTTTCTTTGGATACCAACAATTTTGACCTTGACCTGGAGTTTGACTTGCATTTGAGAAACTTTAACCTTCGCCTTAAGCTCTATATATACTCTTTATCTAAATATTATAAACTTATAAATTTATTATGAATTGATATACAAAAAATAAATAAAACAAAAGTATTCATTCTCTAAATTACTTTTTCATGCAGTATATAAAGGAAACACAATGACACTAAAACAGCTTACTCTTCAAGCACAGTCTGACTTAAACCCAGCCTCTACTTTACTACAACGAAGTGAAATAGTGGGGTGGCTTTAGTCAGTCTGTCTTCATGTGTTAAAAATAGAGAGAACTTCACGGTTTGTTCCCGTTATTTTCAAATTTTGTTTTGTCAGTCTCTTTGAAATCATGAAAAAATATGATAAATGTAGATCTTTCATGCGGCAATCCATGATACATGCAGATAACACAGGTACCTGGCGAATGGTTGGTATAACCCCTCCCCTTCCTTCTGAGAATTTTTTTTTCACGATAACTTAGCAAATATATATACATGAATTCCTTGCCTACCATTACAATGCTTCGATATTTGTTATTTTCCGTTATCTTGTCTAAAAAAGATTGTCAGAATTTGCACGGTGCCTGTGGATAGATAATCAGAGAGCACCTCATGCTCGTCAGTTCGATATGCTTTTCTGTGATATTGTTATAAAAGCATTGTTAAAATCAGTATAGCAAACATGCCTGCAAAATGCAATTTTATATCAATACTATTTTATTTTTATTGGATTAAAGAATTTTTTTACTTTCAAAGTTTGAATTTAATTATAGTCAAAAAGAATAAAAGTTATGTTTATGTTTGATCATTTCTGCTTGTATAGATATAAATGCAAGTTTTAATTTACCGGATTGGATAAGAAAAATAAAAAATTTGTAATATAAATAGAAGAGGAAAAACTGTAATTTTGTTACATATATATATTTTTTTATTATTTAGTGATTCATTCGTAATATGTCTATATATAGGTAACGGAAAATTACGAGATTTGCCGAATAATTTAACGAAGAGAAAGTCACATGGACACATCATCCAATCATTTTTAAGTTTACAAATACCATTGGTTCGGCATGCTTGACCTCGGAAGCAAAGCAAAACACGGCTGTCTACGATAAAAAAAAAATCGACAACTATTTACCTCTGCTAGATATATTTCATTACTCTGTCATGAATCGGTAAGTAGCAATGATCAGGTTTCCCTTCAGTCTCTAAAAGAAAGGGAATGAACAGTTATTTTGGTTTCAGTGGGTTTTCTTCATGTTCCCGTTTGAAATGGTGTCGACAGGTAGATTTTGTATTCCATACAGTTTAGGATTAATGTTGGCAGGGATTTGATAGGATTTTGTTTTATTTGTAATTAGTGCTTCACGAAAAAGGTTTGAAAAATACGTATTATGAAGACGTTGGCGGGACTCAAAATGGGTCTGTTTTATGTATGGTGGCAAATTGATGGGTCGTTTCAAAAGTATGAAATTGAACGAAGTATTTGTGGAATAATGGAGATGACATCTCTACAGAAGGACTTTTATGACAAACGGAGAGTGAAAACTTGTTGTTAAGTGCAACGTTATCATATTATTCTGTAGAGTAGGTCGCTGTAGTAAAGTATTTAACAATCAAGTGCTTGCATATGTGTGTCTTTGAAGAAGTACGAGGATTCCGAATGACGCAAGGGTGAAGTACAAGAAAGCCAGGGGAGATATCAAAATATAATTATTTGTAAATCATGATGCGCAATGCATTATTTTAGATAATTAGATAGAAATTCATATATATTATTTGTGAAATTGTGGTACATTTAAATAGCTAGATTACACATATTTGAGAATTTTCATTGATCAGAAGTTTGTACTCATGATTGCAAGAATGTCATTTTATTCCTTTCTGCACTCTAAACATGCTTAAGTATTGACTGTTAATTTGTTTTTCTACATACTGATTTTCGATGCTTTGACATATATTTTTAGTTTGCTGTAGTTTACAGAGGAACAAATGTTTGTCATTTTCAACTTAATGGGGGGGGGGGGGGTCATGATAATTTGACTTTCAAATTTTTAGAGTTGAAAAACCCAGGATACTTAGCTGCAGTTAAGTATTTCTATGATAAAATTCAATGAGAAGTAAATATTCACAACCCTATCAAAAAAAAAAAATGTTGATGTCTAATTAAAAATATTACAGAAATTCTGTATCAGGTTACTTCATTTAATAATTTATAAATAATTTAAATATCAAAGACAGTATGATATATGAAGATATTGTTTATTAGTTAAGTGCATATCATCATGCTAAAAATGATGCAAAAATAATTGAAAATGGAAGTTGAATACATGTATAAGAAAATGCATATATTAGATCATATAAAAGTTGGAATTGTTAGAAAGCAACAGTGTTTTTAATTTTAATTCTGAACATGCTTAATATGACTCATATAAATAGGCTAAGCCTGCTGTCAATCCAATTCATGTATTATAGTACATATTAATAAGTGCATCTAGAGGATTTTCAATGTTTTGTAGTTGAATGTAGAATTTATTTCACTCAGACAGGACAGGAATTTTTTTTTATTTTCACAAGTGCAAAGCACAAGTGAAAAGTATAAAAAAAAAAAATCCTGTCTCACAAGTGAAAAAAATCCATGTTCAACTAAAATACATTTGAATTTTCTGTTTATTACATTTTCTTTGATTTTCCCATTGCCTCTGTCTTAGGCTGTGACATCATAGTTGAGCAGTTAAAATGTCGAAGCTTAGCGATCCTAAAATTGAGAATGTAAAGATAACTTATCTATATTATAACAGGCCTGGCAGGGAGTATTTTTTCAACACTCTTCCTGAAGGGAACGAAAATCAAAGAGTTTTGCCACACTTCACATTGTGCCAAAATATCACATGACTTTGATATTCTTTCACACTGTGACAAACTATCACTTTTATTCATGAATAAATTACAGTATTTCACTGCAACAGTTGAAATTGTCTCTATGTATTTGAATAAATGTGATTTATTTTAATATTCTAATCCTTGAATATTTAGGTAAACTCCCCTTAAACATGAGTAACAGAACTGCTGGAGAAAAAGAGGATCCCCCTGTGATATCCTCCACCCCCACAATCAATCTCCCAGGACATGCTATCCTCAGTCATTATCAAGAACTGCAAGTAAGTTTTATTGCAATTTTAAGTGCATTTAATGGCAATCCAAAAAAAGCTGCATTATTTTATACTCGTGGATTAAACCAAAATTGTGATACCATGGAATTGTAACCCCATGGAAAAAAGTGGGTCATGGAAAAAAGTATGTTTACATTATAAATAAACCTTTTACATGTTTATACTTTTAACATGTTTAATCATAAAAAAAGTCTTGAAATGGATATAAATTATTTGTTCCACAGGCAGCATCTAAATCATTGAACCAACCAATGGTACCAATCAACCTAACAAGTGGAAAGACAGGAGATGGTGGGAGTCTAGCAGCCATTATTCCTCAAGGTATAAAAATCCAGCAAAGAGATCTAATGTGTCTAATGTCTAAAGATATGAATCAAAGACATGTTAATGAATCTATGTATTAATAAATTCTTTTAGCTGACATTGTTTGTATTATGGGAATGCAGTTTTTAGCTCACCTGAGCTGAAAGCTCAAGTGAGCTTTTCTGATCACCTGTTGTCTGTCCATCCGTCCGTCTGTAAACTTTTCACATTTTCAACTTCCTATCAAGAACCACTGGGCCAATTTTCACCAAAGTTGATCATTGGGTGAAGGAAGTTTAAATTATAAAAATGAAGGGCCAAGCCCCCTTACAAGGGGAGATAATCAAGAAAAGACAAAAATAAGGTGGGGTTATTAAAAAATCTTTTTCTCAAGAACCACTGGGCCAGAAAAGCTGAAACTTAAGTGGAAGCATCCTGGGGTAATGTAGATTCGTATTTCTTCAAATCATGACCCCCGTGGGTAGGGTTGGGCCACAATAGGGAATCCAATTATTACATTGAAATATAAAGAAAAAAAATCTTTAAAAATCTTCTCCTCAAGAACCACTGGCCTCCTCAAGAACCACTGGGCCAGAAAAGGAGAAACTTAGGTGGAAGCATTCTGGGGTAGCTTAGATTCTAAATTGTTCAAATCATGACCCCAGGGGTAGGATGGGGCCTCAATAGGTATTACAAGTGGGAAAATCTGGTGAAAAACAGCAGGGCCAAAGTTACTCAGCTGAGCGTTGTGGCCCATGGGCCTCTTGTTGTTATTGTTATTTCCTATTATTGGTGTATTGCAAAATGAGGTAGATAATGTGTTGCATTTTGGTATTTTTGGCTTGTCATGGTATTTGAAATTTACACAGGAAGTGAGATAAGAAGTTAGAATAGTGATTATTGAGTAATGTAAAAACTATGTATCATTCAATAATTAGTAGACATATTTAATTAACTGAATATATTTAATTAAATTTTAAAAATACTGCATTATTTTCAGCTTTATTGTCAGAAGTGCCAAGACCAGTGGCTAGTGTGGTAACCACTGCTGCCCCTTCAGCACCCTCCACTCTACCCCTTGTCAACACTACCACCACCCCCACTATCCCCCAGGGTAGTATTGTCCAGATAAGCCCAGGGACAGCTACCAATGTCAGCTCTATTCTGAGGGGTGGCAGCACTCAACATCTTGGATTTGCCTCTCATCTCCCAAAAGGTTAGAGCTCAGATGTTTTCACATACTAATTAGCAAACAAAATTGAAAATAAATTATATTAAAAAAAATAGGAGATTTCCACATATGTACAGCTTTACTGAGTTGTCTATATGGAAGGAAAAATTCCACTAGGCATACATGTTCCTTATGCTGTTTTAGGTCCTATGGCTGCAGCATCGGCATTTGCTGGGCCTAAGTCCATGACTGCCCTGCCAATGGTGAGACACCCCACGGTCAGCCTTCAGAGTCCTGGTACAAAGGTTCAGACCTCCTCTCTCATCAAATCAACCACACCCCCAACATCAAAGTCTCCTACTCCAGGGGTAACCATTGCTGTCACTCAGGCCAGTGAAGGATCAAGGTATGGGCTATTCCAGTAAAAAAAAATCCACCCTACTGCAGGACTCCAGAAGATTTCAGGGGGTGCCACCCATAGGTGCCACCCATAGAAATATTTTTCTTGAAGAAGAAACCATGCATAAAATTTATTTTTTCATACACAGGTCCTGGGATAAAAGCAATTTTCTTTGTGATGAAATTTTTTGGTAGTGATATTATGTCATGTTTTTATATAATATAAACATTTTGTCATAAAAATTTACATTTAAATGAGATATTTTGAGATGTAATGACTTACAACAGCTGCAGGTGTGCATTAATTACTTCCACTTGTAACTTCAGTATAAGACTTCAATAATAATGATCTGAATCATGAGAGGAAGTAGCTGATAAATAAACTGGGCTCAAGATTTCCTTGTTCTCTTTATTGCCAGCTCAAATTTCCTCTAAATGTTACAAATGTTTTCAAGAAGCTCACTTCTGTTTGAAACTGAGAAAAAAAAAAGTTAAAATGATGATTATTAAACCAAGCAGGCAGAGTTAGACAGTAGTAAACAGTAAGTAGTAAATTATGTAATTTATCATGTAAATTATCAACTTGAACAACCCTTCTTTGAATCAATTTGTTCATATGCAACTCCATTGATAGAATAAAAAAATTGTTGTCTGAGGGTTGGGTAGATAGCCCTAAGTTTTACTGTTTCAGAGATTTAGGGATGCTGTGTAAATACTGTAAGATAGTTGTTGTATGTATCATATAAAGTTACAATGGTTTATCAATGATATTTTAACTAATGGTAAAGGTTACCTTTCCCATTTGGAAAAAAATGTCAAAATTTCCCTTTTTATGACAAAAAATTTCCCGATTTAACATACATGCAATATTAGAAATATTTTTATTTTTGAAACTTCCAGAAATACCACAGATTAGCTCTCAGAATGCATTTTTGTAACATTTTTTTCTTGAAAATTTCCTGGGGGCATGCCACCAGACTCCCATAGTATATTCAGATCTCCAGTGTAAATGTTGAGCAATTGGTTTTTTTTTTCTAATATTTCCCCCTTCACGTGAAAAGGATAGTCAAATAAGATAGATAAATCCCTGAAAGATTCAAACTGTTCCTACTTCTAGTCTTAAATGGAGAATGGGAATAATAGTGAAAAAATGACTAGGGAAAACATTGCTTAAAGTGATCATATGAAATAACATAGGTATAATTTCCTGAAAATAATGAATGAAAGTCTCAAAAAGTTGTTTCTCAGTAATGATTTCTTTTTTTCAGCAGGACAAATGTAACTGTACCAAGCACAGTCACAACCCCACAGGGCAGCATTCAGATTACCCTACAAGCCCCCCGCCAAGCTGGGGAGGGTATCTCCAAACCTCCCACTATACAGAGAACAATAGATGTTCAAAAGCCGCTCATTCAGGCCTTGAGAACAACTACAGTTGATACAGCCCCCAAAACAATTATTACAACTCAGGTCCGACCAGTTGGGGAAGCCGCAGTGAAGTCTGTTATCGCTGGGTCCTTACAGAGGTCCCTGGATGCAAAGCAACCCGTGAGGACGACTAGTGATCCGGTTATTCGACCCCCTAAAACAGTACATGTGCCACAGACTTCCACATTCTCTGGGACTAAAGTGTTTGTGACTCAGACTTCAAACTCATCAGTGACTCCACATAATCTTGTGACAAATCCATTGAAGACTAACAAAGGTAATGAATGGGGAATAATTTATTAGATTTTCAACATCCTACATCTCTTCTGATTATGAATTAGAAACACAAAGATACTTAAGCATTGAATCATTATTTTTTGAAAGATATAGTCTCATAACTGCAACGGTGTGTGCAAACAAATTGAGTAACGCACATAAGCGCGTTATGAAAATTTGTTTGCACACATCATTTTAGTTATGAGGCTATATCTTTCAAAAAATAATGATTTATTGCTTATATTTACATTTTTAACTCCTTGCCTTGACTGCAAATGTGATTTTTATTTCAAAATTCCTGTATTATCCCTCGGTAAAGTTACAACAAATGGAAGAGCCATTGCAACAGCTTCTTTTCAATGTGAGCGTGAATTTTGATATTCGCTTATGACACTGCACTTCCACAGCGTTTGTGATATCAAAATAAAATGCATACTTTAACCTTTTGACCCCCTGTCTGTGTTATGGTGTTTTGAATGCCATGCTTTCCTCACACTTTCTAAGCAAAATACATGTGGAATGTAAATATAGAATTATATTGTTTTTATAGGCATTCAAGTAAGTTAGCTTTACTTCGGTTTCATCATCTGAATGTGTGTAAACAATTCAAAACTTGAAATTAATTTTTCTTGATTATACACTGAAAAAGCTAGTAGATTGCACAAGATTTCAGAAGAAAACGGCATGCTGTGAGAACCAGGAAGCATATTTCAGAGGTAAAAGGTTCCTGTAATGATTCATGTTGGAGTTTCTACATTTGATTTTAACTTTTTCAGGTATCACTATCCCATCATCCTCTTCTGCTGCTTTATCTGCAGCTTTGTCATCTGTTACCACGACAGCCACAACCATTCCCATAGGTAGAACAATTTTATTAAGTTTTTTATGTTGGATGGTGTCAAAACAAAGGAAAAAAATGAGATCGCAATATTACATATTAAATGTTTATGTATTTTTCTCTCTTAGACTGAATTAATCTTAGTAATTCTATAAAATGCAAGCTATGGCAAGGTTTGTTATCATTTTGTAGCAAAAGTACCCCCAGTGAGACAGCCCCCTTTGTCTCTGGCCCCTCACACAGTTAGCTCCACCCTTCCCCTCACCCCAAGCACTCTGGAAAGGCCTCGACCGGAGTCCACCCATCCAGGGACTGCGCCACCAGCCCACTCCACGTCTACCGCTAGCATATTCATGCCACACCGGACTCAGCCTAGTACTTCTCATAATGCACCATCAACTCTCACTCATGCAGAAAGGCAAGTACCACAAACATGTAGAAAAAGGAATAACATGATCACTCTTGGAGATATTTTTTTATTTCTTATTCAGTTTGATATAGTAGAGGAAGTATTGATGTTGTAATTTTTAGAAAATGTAGGCAATAATTGCAATGGGAAAGTTGTGGCATAGAACTTTTTAAAGTCTTCTGGCTAAATAAAACGTGACAAGTTGAACATATCATTTGTAAAGAATTTTTTGTGTAAAAATAATCCTAAGTTTAGTTTCTTGTTATACAGTAACAATTTGGTCTCATTACTAGTATTGAAAAATAACATGTTCAGTCTGTTAATTGTTTAGTGTTTTTATCTAGCTGATATTCATTTTATCTTTTAGGCCAGCCTTGTCCAGTCAGATATATCCATACTTCATTCCTGAATACTTGATGCAATATCCTTGCAGTCCCTTGATGCAGCAGGCCTTGGCAAATGCGCAGCCAAATGTACATGCAATCCCTACAATATCTACAGCTTCTACCATCAGAACAGGGCTTCGTAAGTATAGTCTTCAAAGTGAATTTGATTAATAAAACACAATATCCCGTCTGAGTGCAGTAGTAATAAAAGTTATCATTTTTGTCACACAACTGACTAACAAATGAAATTAGTGGTATTGCTTAATTTAATAAATTCAACAAAGGATCTTTTACATTTTATGATTGATATTTCAGTGCAAAATCAAACTCCAAATTTAGCAGCCTCATTACAAGCAGCACACACATTTTCTGGGACACCAGGGGCAGGTGTGCGATTGAATCAATCTCAGCCCGTTGTAGTTACCATGGATACTATTCGAGCCCAACAGGCACTGTCTGGAAACCTTCCTTTCACAGGATCAACGGCCGTTCCCGAGTCAACAGCACGTCCCACCACCCCAACAGACAGTCTATCAACCCTGTCGTCAGCCACCGCAGCGTCTATCCCTATTCCTGCACTAACAGTCATGGGACAGTGTAATCCTGCTCCTAATTATCCGTCAACTCCAGTTACACCCCAGAATTCTCAATCTAACAGCAATACCCCAGTCAGTACCCCAAATGCTTCACCCAGACCAAGCATTCTCAGAAAGCGAACCAATGAAGGGTGAGTAATCTGAATTAATAAATGCTTTAGATTTCTTTTAGTTTTCTCATTGTTGAAAAAAAAATTTTTTAAAATTTGAATCATGCATTATAATGTACTTTAAATACTTTTAGGGAGGATCCAATTTTGGCATTTTTATCGAGGGTGTTTAGATTGCCAAATTTAAATATCCTTAAATATTTATTTCTGTATTAGTTGTTACTGGTATCTATCTATGCACAAAAAATCGCAAAAATCACTTCCTGCTAAAATTAAATACTAATTTTTAAGGACAAATCGCTAAATTTGGGTCTCGCTAAAATTTCGACTTGCCTGTATGTGGTACCTTTAAATTATGCATTATAGACCTGTGAAGAAACCAGTGTGTGGTCTGAATACAATGGACAGACACAGTCCTCGTCCAGATTCTAGGACAGACTCTGCCCCCCAATCCAACACGAGCTCTCCCAAAACTCCAGCTACTCCTGCAGGGTAGGAATTCAAATTTATATTTTTCATTAAAGATAGACATGTATATTAAAGACTTAAATTTTACAAATAATAAAAGGAAAATACAAGCATCACAAATGTTGTGTGTAACCATAGGATGTTCATATACATGTACAATATGCATACATTAATGCTTTTGATTTTATTACGGTAAAATAGAAATTTTGAATTTTAATAGTGAAAGTCAGTCATCCACTGATACAGCCTTATCAAGCGAGGCCACAACACCAACTCAAAACAACATGGCTGAACTCAAGATTAAACAGGAACCCATGGAAGGGCTGGAAAATGGTAAATTCTTATTTTTGGTTACTGGGTAGAGAACATTATTAAGCATTTAATTGCCTTTTCTGTTTGCATTATTCTTAAGCCTGAATCAGTAGGTTGTAGATTAGCGTATAAACTTTGTTTTTGTTTACAGGTTTGTCTGCAGCTATTAATAGCAGCATTGCTTCTTTGTCCAACTCTTTACCCAACAGCACAGATGCTTCTCCCAGGAAGAAACCACGAAAACAGCTGCTGTAAGTTTAACCGTCATTCATTTATATTGTAAGGATTAGAAAAGTAAAATATGAATGTTGTAAATCTATACATGATTATGCATAAAATATCATTGTACTACTGTAAAACTTGGTTACAAAGAACTCCCTTATAAGGAATCTTGGATATGAGTAATCTTCTATGAATCCCGTTGAAGACTTTTAACTCTGTTCCTTATACGCACGCACTTAAAGAATTTCTGTTATAAGGAAGCAGATTTTGAGGTCTCAGTGACTTCCCTATAACCAAGTTTTACTGTATGTTGGAAGTAGTAAAACTGTGAAAATAAAATTGGTCTTTGTCATGAGATATGTTTATTGATTTCTTTATGATTTAATATTACTCATGCCAAAGAATGATAAGATTTGGGGGAGGGGGGATGTTTTCCTTTACTGCTAAAACTTTTTCTTCTAATGTATTTATGACTTTCTCAGAAATGCTAATGAGGAGCTGAAGGACAATGTGTCCTCAGATGAGGAGAAGGTGGCAGTGGAATCTGTGAAAGAGGAAGAAGACATTAATAATGAATTTAGAGAAGGTAGATAACTCTTGTGAGATTTGATATAAGAGGACATTTTTTCTCAAGAACAGATCTGTACAAGTGATTTTTTTCACAAGTAAATTTATTCACATTCAGATATTTTCAAGTACATGTAATCTCCTGAAAAAGCCTTTCAAGTGTAATTAGAATACAAAATTTGTAATAAAATTTTAGTATTTATGTTTTCTCATGATAAAACCAAGTCAATCATGCAATATGGAATACATATTTGAATTGTTTCAGATTGATTTTATCATTATTTTTTATTGTTGCAGAATATGTGGATGATGAAGGTGTGCGATGGACTGTAGAGAAATGTCGACCCAACATTTCTCTTATGAACTTTTATAATATCTCTTGGAAACCTAGAAATAATCATTTTAATAGACATACAGAAATTAAACCAAAAGGTATGTAATATCACTCAATCTCCATTAGACTTTAGAAAGCTGCACAAACCTTTTAGTAATAAAGAAAGAGTGGACTTTGCTGGAAAAAGTGCATTAATTTGAATATTACAGAGGAGCGACGCCCTACTGTGAATGAATTAGCCAATCAGAGAGGAGCTGCTCAGAAGGCTAGTGGCTGGAAGCTGTATCACATGGCAGCACAGATGGAGGATCTGGTGAGTTTACAGGTCTGCCATTGATTAAAAAAAATAGGCATTTATGAAAAAGAATTTGAATTTTAAATAAATATTTAAATGTATGGATAAGGATAAATAGTTTTAAATCTTTATTTTATGGAAAACATTTTCAGATTAAGCCTATGAGTGTTTGAAAAAAAATAATTATTGTGTATGAAACATAATGTACATGTCCCATGATATAATTATTCTGCTTTATAACATTTCAGAATGATCTGGAGAAGACTTTATTAAGCAAATTATCATCAATTCAAACTGCTTTGTCCCCACGTCCTCAGAATAAACTCACTGTGGTGTCCATGGAGGACGAACTGAGTATGATGCACGAGTTAACTCAGGTGAGTACATGTCTGGGATCCACAAAAATAGAGTAAAGATGAGCTATCTTTAATCATGTGTACACTTTAGCACTGTCAGTTCTACTTAAAAGCAATATGAGCTGCATTTTTGAGAATTTAATTTTGCTGTTAAAATGTGCTATTTTGATACATTTTTATGTAATTTAAACCTTTTTGATCAATTCGACTTAAATAAAGTTTCAGAAAAAAGATTTCTGTACAATCGAATATCTAGTATTACATAAGTATTACATGTATATCAATATTGAACAGGGTGACAATAATGTAATTCTGCTTTAACCAAACCTTAGAAATAGTTAATTCTTCCATCGCAAATATGAACAACAGAGAGTTTATAAACATTCTTTTTTCTGTCATTGAAGTAGTTAATTACAATTTTGCAACCAAATCTCCGACATCAAAGTCGCAGCTCGTATTACTTTAAAGAAAATAAAAGGGATGATTCAAAGCTATTTGCCATCATAAAAAATCTGCTGCAAGCAAATACACGTAGTAAGAAATTTTGTTTTAAAGTAGTTTTCACACACTTGCTTCTTGTCAATACTATCCCAAATACAGAGTTTTTGATAACTGTCAGCATGAAAAATAAAACAAAACATTATCAAAAAAATTCTGAAGACTACCTGAGAGTGACAGTAATATTAATTGTTCATACTGATAGAATTTCAATAAGGTAGACATCTGAGAATTTCTGAATTATTTGAGTTTGGTTTTATCTTTTTGGCAGGCAAACATTCAAAGATGCAAACTCATTATGGATCAACTTGAAGAATCAAGAACAAACATGTTGAAAGTGCTAGATCATAAACAGAAAATATCCGAAATTATCAATAAGCATGTTAGCAAGAGACCAATTAAAAAGAAGGAAAGATCATAGCATTGACCAATGCATGAAATTATACAATCTGACCAATCAGTGAGAGACAACCTGAGTATGGAAAGTATGTGATACAAATACATGTATAAAGCAAGAACTGAACTTGACAACAGATTTGTTGTTGCCTCTTTTCTGTTTATGCTATTTCTTTTAATTGTTTCTATTAAGGGCATGGTTTAATGTTAAAAGTCTTTAACACTGGATTTCAATTCTTTGCATAGAAATCAAATTTTAAGTTTAAGTAACCATGACAATGACATGATCAAAAGAAAGATGAACCTTAATGATGTTTACATGTAAAAAGGTTATCTACAGCAGTTCCCAGGGTTTACCTCCCTTAAATATCCATGTGTTATATTTGTTATGCATTGTTGAAAATTTGATATAAGTTCTATTATTTCATATTGAAATTCACTTGTTTCATTGTGACAGTAGAACGTGTTTTCTGTGTCATTTTATTTATTTCATCATTCAACATGTTACATACATTTTATTTGTTACTTTGTCACCAAAGAGTTGTGTGAAAAATAAGTTTTCTAAAAAAGCTCTTTGACATTGTACAGTTCATCTTAAGTAATAATAGTATAAACTTGACATGAAGTAAAAGAATTATTGATAAAAACCATTTGTGATTTCTGGTTTACAAATTTTATTATTTAGGTGATTAACACATGGTTGATAGTCACATTTATGTCAGCTGAAAGTTGAAAATTATGTTGTACATTGCATTTATCATACAAAATACAATAAAATGAGTAAAGAAATTACAAAATGTTGTTTGTAACTTGATACGTTCAGATAAGTCTTTTAAATGCAATATAATGAATCATCGTGTATTTCAACAGTTCAAATTTTGGATGAGTTCAGTCTGTACATACATTTTGATAATTAGATAATTGATTTGGCAAAGTATACCAGTAATTATAAGATAGGGTGTTTCAAACTGACAAGTCTTTATAATATAGTGCATGTATTAAGAAAAAAATATGAAGTATTTCATATTTAAGTTATTTACTTTTCAGTTCATCTGAAGTCAGAAAAGTGCATGTATCCATTGTATTTGAGGGCAGAAAAAACCCATTAAAGCTAAAGAGAGTTACAATGTGGACAACGGGTGCTATTCATTGTAGAAAACCAGCAATAATTACATATCTTATGTCCACACATGTATTTAACTTTCACAACGTTCTTAACCATTCGCTTACATTGTACACATTTCTGAAAATCATTCAATGGCCGTAGTGGTCTTCTTGGTGACCGTGAGCTCACCATGGAAACATCTTGATCAGTAGGAGTGTCGTCTGCATGTTTCACGTCATCGTTCTCTAAGCCAGTTAATTTGCCGATCATGATTTGGATTTGATCCATGTCGATTTCCCCTGGAATGAAATCGACGTTTCTATTGAAAGTGACATCAGTTGGATCTACCTGTAGTTTGTTCAGGATTGATGAGAGTCGCGTTTCCATCTGGACTGTCTCAGCATCGCTGGCACAATGAAGAGTGGTTTCCTCCAACTTTGAAGCCACCAACTCCAGTTCAGCAATATTGTTCTCCATTGTCTGAACAGTGTCCTCGTTTTTCTTCAGATCATCCTCGCAAGAATTCAGCATTGTTTGACTGAGCTCAGACACTCTTGCTATTATAATAGCTCTCTGAGCATTAATTTCTTCCATTTTCTTTTTCCGTTGGTCAAGAACTTTTTCCTTTTCAGTTCGTGATTTCTCTAAACATGCCATGTAATTGGGAAGGTAAGTTTTGACAATATCTTTTCTGTACTGGACCAGTTTTTGTCGCATTATTTTACCAGCTTTGCGGAGCTGCATCCATTCATGTTCTTTGTGTTCGGTTCTAATACACTCGGAACATACCGATGATTTACAATCATTGCAAAACATAATGAAAGTTTCTCCGTGATATGTGCATATTTCGGACGAAATGGGACCTTTTGATTCCATGTTCTTGGGAGTATTTTCCTTTAAAGACGATGTTAAACTTTTCAACGTCACTCCGCTCGTTGTGATATTGTGTTCTTTGGTCGATTCGTTTATCTCCTCCACGGTCTCGCTGTCCTTATTTTCAGTCTGTGTAGAATCATTTTGAATTCCATTATTCCCTCTTTCATCGGCCATGTTTTCTCTGAAATCTTGAGATACACACCGAGAAGGTTCCTCACCTTTAGAATTCCCATCTTCACTTGGAGTTACAATATCCTCTCCCGCTTCTTGAGATGTCTCGGAATTTGCACTCTCTACATTTGACGGTTCTTGCTGATTTTGAATGTTGATTCTTCCAGAAGAATTTTCATGCTGCTTCTCGCGAGGTTTTGGCTTCAGTTGTTTCGCTGGCATTTTCTTGGAGCTATCTCTTATGACTTGATTTGGTCTTGAGGTTGGTAACGTGATTGTAGGTCTAGCTGCGTACGGAGATTTTCCAATCTTCTTTGTATTGTGTGTCCTGGTTTCTGGTCCTGAAAAGGATCCTTTTCTTGAACTCATTTTACTTTGGCCATCTACTGCAAGAGAAACGAGAATTACGAAAAACTAAAAGTGCTCAGAAAATTGTCAATGACGATCCCCTGGCAAAAAAGTGTTTAAAAACTTCCCTGGATTAAGATAATGGAGGCACTCAGATGAGTCGATCCATACCAGAAAGTATGAATCCATTCTTCTTTACAATGTACGTGTATTTAATATAAGCACGTATATTATGCTCTTGTTTTATTTTTGGATTGCAATGGCAGATTGATTAACTTAAAATATATGTATTTATTTTCTTTTTTCACGTAAGGATATCTCTTAAAATTATTATTTGATTAAAAATTCTCTAAAAGATTGAAATTGAAATCCTGTCGTGCAACAATTTTTATTTCATTCATCGCAATTTGATTCAGGGTTCTTTGAAACGGTCTTGTAAAAAGTTGATAATGTCTCTATAAAAGTACAAAATACTTAAATAGATTCATCTTTAGCCTTTAATCTAGCCTTAGATACCAATGTTTATTAGCACGATATGAAATTATAAGTGGTCTGTGATGTCTTGCACTGATAGCACAAAGGTTTTACACTAGGTACTACATGTATATATAACAATATGAAGTAAATAGAAGAACTTTAGAAAGTACCGTATACATGTAAGTATGAAATACATGGAATTTTCTCCAAATGCCTGGATACCTATAATTTTTTATCCTAAAATATATTTAATTTCCAATTACAAAATGCTTTTATTCCCATGTCGGAGTGTCCTGAAAATATATTAGAGATTTGATAATTTTCCCTCGTATAATATGATTAACTATAATTATTAACTTTAAAGAAATATCATGGGTAAATACACATTACTTTGAGAATAAAGAGATAATTTTGTGAGCATTTTCAACATTACCCAACTCCTGGCCCCAAGACTATAAACTGAAAACAGACTTGATTCAAAATTTCAAATCAATATAACTTTTGAAATAATTTTGATAATGAAAGAAAATTGTTTGATCTTGAATGTAATCACGTAATATAAACCTGCAATTTTTAAGCACATATATTATATAAAACTCAAGTTATACAAAATAAAAATTTTGAACTAAGTCTGTTTTCAGTTTTTGGTCTTGAGGCCAGATTTTCGGAACCTGAGTTTGGCTGAATCCGGAGCAACATTGATTGTCGAAGGTTTTGAAATTAGTGAACGAGAATGTTATTCCTGTATGATTTATCACCGAAATGTTGAAAAGTAAACAAACTTACAAAGCTAAAACAACTAAAGAAAAAGTTGACGCGGATAAATAATTGTATTTTCGGTAACATTTGAAAAGAAAAAGGAGAAGTATTCATATTAATACTTATGTGAGTGCAATATTCCATGCAATTTATTTATTTACAATGGGGCACTCGGTGTTTTGCAGAAGTAGGTCACATCTTATCAATGTGGTTGGGTTATGGATACTAGACAATGCATGCTTACGAAAGAAAATGGAATCCAGATATGACATAGATGGTATTTAATAATTGCTGTAAAAAGCTTTAACAGTTTAAGACCGCGAAACACATTAACTTGCAAGATTCATTGGATATATGCAGTTTACATTATTTCCATCTGTTACAGTCAAAATATTTGATGATAGACTATGAAATGGGCGAGTACAATTCGACACGGACGACTGAGAAAATACTGGATTGAAATTCTAGTTTGAAATTCATTATCAATCCACCTCAGCTATGCTCCTTAATGTTACCGATTGATCCAGGAGACAAATAATTCAAGTTTGGAATATTTTTTTTTTTTTAATTAAATTGGAATTTTCTGTTTTTAAAGAAATAAAGAAGAGACAACGATTTCATTCCTGTTTGGGGGGAGGGGGCTGCAAGATCTTGGAAATCTGAATCAACATAATTTGCAGAACCCCCCCCCCCTCCAAGAATCAAATGGCAATCCCCTAAAAGAATATAATTATCTATATATTCTTTAAATTTGACCAATTTTTTAATTTTATATAATTTATTGGTGAGTGTTAAAGGGTTTTTATCATGTATCTAAATTTCTTAAAAATGAAACAAAATTATATTCTTGTAACATATAATTATCATTTAATTACGAAATAATTTTGAAAACGGTCGTAATTAGACGATGAAACGCCCGTAATATAAGGTCCTTGTAGTAAAAATCTCAACTAATTAGATAAGGGTCACGTGGTACTGAAACGTCATAGGTGTCAATTAGAACTTGTAAAGCTTATCGTAAGAAAAAATATATTGAATACATTTTTACGTTAAATAAATAGACCACACAATGTGGCAGGTTGAAATTTTTACATCGGCCATATTCCTTTGGTTATGAATGGTCAATGTTTTATGTATGAATGCCTAGCAAAGAGAAATGACCAGAAAATATGTTGACAATTGGAGAGGTCACCGAAGACGAAGCCGTTGACAACTCGGGACTTCTACTGAATAGAACGAATTACTAAGTTTAACTTCGTAAATATTTATAAATATAGGAATTTTAAATTCTCCTTCTTCATTATTTCAATTATTTATATATAAATAAATCCTGAATATCTTCTATCTGTTCCAGCAGTGAATATCATATACTAGAAGTGACACTTCTTCAATGGCGCCGTGCACCATTACTAAGTTCACAACATTCCTACTAGATTCTGTGCGACTTTTAAAAATGCATGTTGGAAATTTTTTAAAGAAAGGTTTCTTTTCCTTAAAATAATTTATAGTACACAAAATTAACGATCGGGCATTGTTCTGAATGGAGATGAATGCCGTCGCGTTTGAGGAAAGAGACCCCCATTTCATCTCTCGAACAAGTCCAGGAACTGTGGAAAAAATCTTCCTAAAACCTTTCTTGTGTTCATCTGTGCATCCTAAAGCCACAAATTATACCTTACTAGCTGTCAATTATCCAATTATCACTTAATTATTATCTAACAGGTTTAATAGATGCAACAAATGAATCCTTCTGTAAACACAATAAGTACTTCGCTTAACCAGGATTGACACCTATGATGTTAGAGCAGTGGCGGGTAACATTGGCAATCAATATATGCATATTGAGAAATTCAAACTTTGAATCTCTGAAACATCAAAAATATTAATTTCCTAGCAAAGATTTTTAGATATATGATTTAAATAACATGTAAACTTTGTCATATCCAAAAATTTTGAGACGTGATAAAAACCCTTTAATTGATGTGTAAATAACACAGATGTGTCACATATATTAAGCATATTTCATGAAGTGCACTAGCATATATGTCTACGTGCAAGTCTGTGTGATTTGCACACCAACATAACATAAGTCATTCAAAAACTAAAAAAAACATTCCTTATGATAACAGTCAATCCTCGTTATCTCAAGCTCAAAGGGACTGAGAAGTAAATCTTGAGATATCAGAGGATTCGAGATATCCAGGGTTAAATACTTGAAGAATAAAGGGTTAGGACTTCCAAAACACTTGGACATATTATTCATGGTATTCAAGATATCAGTTTTGCAGATATGGAAGTTAAACTGTATTTGCGTTTTAATGCTTTAAAAACAATTTTAACAAATATAAACTCAATATTTGAATTTTTTGCTGCTGTTTATTATTATATTTTTTGTTACATTTCCGTTGCAACACTGTGATGTCACAATAGCAAGTGTTTCTCTGTGTACATTTCTACACATGACTATACACAAAAAGGCATTCAAGTCAATTTCATAGTTGGCTTAGTAAAAAATAAAAAAAAAACAGCTGCAAATGTAAATAAATGAATTCACAGATGACAAAAAATGATCTTTTCTTCAGGTAGAATGGGAAGCAAAACAGTTACAATGCTAAAGACACTGTTGCCTTATGATCCACCAAGATGGGCGCAGGGCCTTAAGAATATTCCCAAAACCATGATACCAGTAAGTTGAAATGATCATAGAATGTTTGGCAAAATTCAAGGTCATGGCTGGTTGTTAAGTCACTTTGTTGACAATGAATATTAATTTTGAATATGAAGAAGGATTTGAAAGAAGAAAAACATCCGAAGTTTGCTCTTCATAAGATAAACGAAAAACTTTGTATTTTAATTTTTTATAAATGTGATGGGTGTTGTCATTTATATGAATTTGATAAGCACCACTCATTTTATACACCAATGGAACCAACTCTAGTCCTCATTGAATTTAAAGCTGAGCCCTAGAGGTGATGATAAAGTGAGGATGATAAACCCCTGGAATCTTCCTGGTTTTCCAAAACAGTTTGAAGTTTTTATCAGACGAGAGGACGCTACTGGAGCAGCCATCTCAGGAAACAAGGCATGTAGATATAATGTTTTAAGTTTTAATTGGATTTTAAATGTTCATACTGGTACTTTTACTTAGAGCATAATAAATTGAACCTCAGCATCTTGATTTCTAATATCTAGAATAAGAGGACTTAGTTAAAGGTCAGAGTTGGCTATCCTGAATATATAATGAATTTGAACCTCAATTTCAAATTCTCCAAGCCCAGAAATATCTCAGTTTTATGACATTCCCAAATTGGACATGTTTTAGATATCAAGGGTTTATAGTTTGTTCATATTAATACATGTACTTGATAGTCAAACTTTAGAATGAAAACACTTTTTATTTTCTGTTTGCATTCAGATTTGATAAAATCTATTACTTTTTGTTGTTCAAATTAAATTAGGACTGAAAACTACTTCAGCGAAATCTTTGTTATTAAGTAATTAAGGGAGGCAGTGCTCATATATTTTCTTCAAATAGAATTTAATACTTGTTTATGCTGTTTTACCTACAGGTCAGAAAACTTGAGTTCCTATTGGCTGATGCTATAGAGAAGGGTTGTAAACATGTGATTACTTGTGGTGGAATTCAGTCCAATCACTGCAGAATCACTGCATTGGCCGCCAGAGAGCTGGGAATGACTCCACATCTAGTGCTTAGGGCAGATATCGAGGTACAAAGTATTTTGTAATGAACAACACTAAATTGTGTAGTGCAAAGTATTAACACATCATTTCCTCATTTTCTTACAATGACTAGGATACAAACAGAGTTTAGACAGAAATAAAATAATACTGAAAAGAATTACATGCAGGCTAAATAAGAAACTATCCACAAAGTCTTTAAGTAAATTAAATTTACTTCAAATAAATACCACAAGAACTTAAACTGTATACAGGGAAATTGCCCCCCCCCCCCCCCTCTGTTATATATTTGCTCCTTTTGTCCTAGACGCAAGTGAGTGACAAAGAAAAAAGGTATAATTTCTTAAACAAAAATGTGACTAGGCGAAATTAAAATGGCACAAAATTGCTCACAAGTGTAAAATTGCAAAAATAATTTGTGGCAAAAATAACCCTGTATACAGTATAGCTTTCCTATAACAAATGAATGAGGGATGGGGGTGGGGACAAAACATAACATCCTCTCATTGCAGAGTGAAGCTGATGTTGGTTGTGAGGGCAATGTATTGTTGAATCGAATGTGTGGTGCTCATATGTACATGGTGCCAAAATTATCTCCCTACCTCACAGAACTGAAACCAAGAATGGAAAAACTTGCTGAATCCATTAGGTTTGTACACTTTTGTACTTATGTATCTGGGAATAGTACATTGTAAATGTATTACTCATACAAATAAGAGCATCTGGTTATATCTCTATATTCTTTAATACCACAGGTTGCAGTTAAGTAATTTAATAAGCAAACATCTGTAGAGTGAGATATGGAGATAATGAACAGTAATCAAGCTCAAAAGTCCATTGAAACAATACAAATCGGGAGCAGAGCACACACTGATGTCTAAAAGTATCAGAGTTGGGATCAGGTGCCATGGAGGAGTAAGCATCCCCCATCAACCGTTCACACCCGCCATGTGCTCCTTGTCATGATCAGGCAAATGGAAAAATCTGTAGACCATTAAGTGAGTTTTAATAATGGCCTAACAGTTTGTATGAAAAACATCGGCCAGTATTTGACTTAATGGCAGATTGTATTTGCTGACAAGGGCATTGTATCAAACGTAGAACTTGCAAATGTCAACTTCAAACAAGACTGTATATCCTTGTTTCATCAACTCGTTTGTCAAAAGCTTGCTTCGTTTTAGAAATTGTTTTCAATTAGAGCATGCTTTTGCATATCGAATCTACTGGGGGACATAAACTCCATATGCAGTTGATAAGGTTGTATTGTTACATAAATAAGGGAAGTTGACGACAGTAAAGTTGAATTCATCATGTTTATCATAAAGTTTTTGTGTTAGGTTACCATTATTGTCTTTTTCTAGTAAAATATTCAAATATGAATGGATGTGTCAGACTCTGTGATATCTTTTATTTCAAGTTCACTGGGATATATCAAGTGTACATATGAATGGAAATTACTATTGTTTATTGATGATACTTCGTCAATATTTCAAAAATGTCCAGTTGAAGGCCACAGTAAGTGTTTTCTCCTTCTCATGAAGTTTTGGAATAAATTCTGCTTCATACGAATATAACATAGGTCTGGTAATAATGGGGCACAATTGGTACCCATTGGAATTCCGACAGATTGTTGAAAGATGATCTCCAAAAACTACAAAGATATTGTCAATCAGAAATTCAAGCATCTTTTTAATATCAACTTTGGAGTACATAGAGGTACAGATTCAAATTTTTCAAGGTTTAGTCTCCAGAGTTTTGTTGTGGCCACAACAGAGGATCATAGTCTTACATACAGTAGGGATATATGTGTTAAATCTTAAAACAATATTTGCAAAAGTAGCAGTGCTACAATCAATCAAACAACACTGTAATGAAAATCTCCACCACTAAGTATAAGTCAGATTTGTCAAATGTGCCTCCAGGGCTAGAATAGGGCCAAAATAGGAATAAATAATATCCAAGTTTGCTGTAATTGTAACCAATGTCTTAAAGTAAAGACCACAATAATGGATTTTGTTTATGTACATAATCATTTTTCAGGTAGTTAAAGTGATGAAATGAGAGTAGTGGCTCATTTGACTTCTGTACTTTCTTCAACAGAGAGAAGACAGGAGAGGAGAGCTATTTAATACCAGTTGGTGGATCCAACACATTAGGAGTGTTTGGATTTCTTACAGTGTTTGAAGAAATGTTGCCTTGTGTAAGTATCTGTAAGTATTAAAAATAAACACATTTCATTTCACAATTCCTGAACTATTAAGTCTGTTTCATATTCAAAAAATTAAGTTTAGATCATACATCTTCGCTTTTGCTCCATAAAATCTTAGACAGGTGTGGAGGAAGTAAGGTATCTGGATCTTAATTAATGAGAGGCAAATTGAATTTCTTTGTTTTGCCTCCTAATAACCTTTGTCTTCATGGAACAATTTCCATGTAATGTATAACTTTTTTTATTATTACATGTAATTACTAAAACTTGTAGATACCGTGGATCACAGATATTGTGGTGGCATGTGGTAGTGGAGGGACTGTTGGGGGACTCTGTATAGCCAATCATCTCACAGGATCAAAGGTCAAGTAAGTATTATTATACAAGATCAAAGGTGATTACTTGTAACATATTCATCTTACAGGATAAAAAGTCAAGTCATTAACTTTTACATCACACAGGATCAAAGGTCAAGTCAGTATCATTGTACAAGATAAAAAGTCAAGTTACCGTATTTCTTGTAACATATACATCTTACAGGATAAAAGGTCAAGGCATTACTTTTCCATCACACAGGATCAAAGGTCAAGTCAATATCATTATACAAGACCAAACGTCAAGTCATTACCCATTGCACATTCATCTTACAGGATTAAAGGTCAAGTCACTAACAATTTCATCAAAGAGAATCAAAGGTCAAGTCAGTATTATCTTAAAAGATCAAAGGTCAAATCAGTATTAGATAAAAGTCTAGTTAGTCATTTTACCCATTCCTTGACAAGATCAAAGATAAAGTCATTACAGGGTCAAAGGTCAAGTCAGTATCATCATTCAAGATCAAAGCCATTACATGTAATACATTCATCACGCAGGAATAAAGGTCAAGTTGTATCACAATCCTGTCTCAAGATCAAAAGTTTAGCCGTTTGATATTGTCAACATCCATCTGATATTTTTTTAATTACTGTGTGTATATCTTTCCAGAAAGCCCTTTTTAATATCTTCATTCATCTAGAGAATGTTTGTGGAAAATTAGGAAAAAATCTGCTTGGAAATCAAAGATTTTTTTCTGACACAATATAGAATCAATGCTTTATAAACCAATGATTTATTTTTCACCAATATGTAGTTGTTCCTATGCCCTTTTTTATTTTAGGGTACATGCTGTTATAGTTTGTGATGATGCTAAGTACTTTCATAATCATGTGAATGAAACACTATCAGAACTTGGATTGACAGATGTCCAATCAGAGGAAATTCTGGACATTATAGAGGGCTATAAAGGTCGGGGTTATGGCCTCTCTACTGAAGAAGAATTAGGTAGGTTTAAAGAGAAAAAAAATTTTATAAATTGACTCAAAAAGGAAATTGCACTTTACAACAATATACTTACATTTATAAACTTATAAAAAGAAATACATTTGCTATAATAAATAAATGACAAATACAATCTCTTCAGCATGTGTTAAAACCTTCAAAAACAAAATGATAGTTTATTTTTGTAGAGTTCATTATGGACATAGGAGCATCAACAGGTGTGATTCTTGATCCTACTTACACTGGAAAAGCTGTCCGAGGTCTGGTGTCAGAGTTACAGAATAATCCTCACAGATTCAGGGGAAACCAGATTCTATTTATTCACACAGGTATGCAGTTTTTATTTACACTTTTCTTATATTTTGTTTTAAGTATTCCCCCTTCCCAATGAAAAGTAGGAGACTGGGTAAATCAGCAATAGGAATCAATATGCTTTTCTCTCAGAAATATGTTTTCTCAATTTGTGTAGGACATAGCACTTATAATTAGAATGTGTGTACAAAGTTTGATCATGTCCTTATCTAAAGTCATTTTCTGTTATGATCCTAGATACATGTATAAACACTTGAAGGACAAGGTCTTTTGGACATACTTTAAGTGTACATAAATAGGTGTATTCAAAATTTAGCACAATCACTGTGTATGGAGTTGTTGGAAAAATCATGAATTAGCTCTACACATGTTTGTGCCATAAATTGTATTTATAAATGATATCTTAGCGGTATTCATGAATTGTCTGTGCCAAAGCCGCTAAAATATGAAGCCCGCTTTTTTAAGTACACATACAGTACTAATAACAGTAGTATGTAAAGACTTAAAATTCAACTTAATTTTCTATGGCTCCTATTTGTGAATGTTTAAATTTTTACAAATGGAAATTGAGTCCTCATTGTGAATATACATATATTAAGCAATTTTTCAATATCATATTTTATCACAGCTTCATGAATTCAAGACTTTATTGAGAGGGCAAATATAGAAAAAAATACCCCGGTACAACTCTGTCGAGAGTGTGGATATTGAAAAAATTAAAATCAAAATTTTTTAATCCCTATGAAGTATAACAGTTGTAGATAGTTCTATTTACGTTTGTGCTCTCAAACTGTACAAAAAGTATACAAGAATACATTAATTGTTCCATATTTTTCCTCTAACATATATTTTATTCAAAGTGTAGATTGAAATAGAATAACATTTTTACAAGTATTGTTTAAAAAATTTGCTCTTAAGCATATTTATCAAAAAAGCAAATAAAATCAATAGAATGTATTTATACAATTATTAAATATTTTACCTTTTAACTATATTTAATGTTAAAATATTTCAGGAGGAACATTTGGACTCTTTGATGGTCGGATTAATCACCTCTTAAAACAAAGAAACACACCAAATAGCAGTCAGATTCACATTTGGACTGACATGGATGACTTTATAAACCCTAGCTGATATTTTACAAGAAATATTTAGATTTTTTTTTAGATGTTTTAAAATCATTTATTCAGAGACTTTACTAGTATTCAAACATTTGAAAGTGTAGAGATGCAAAAATATAAACATGATAATGAACATAGGTGAATTAGATGTGGAAAATGCCTTTACTGCTTCACATGTATAAAAATCAAATTCAGTTTGTGAACTACCACAGTAAGTTTATGGAGTGAAGTTCTTATTATTTAAAGGTATAAAATTAATACAAACGAAACTTCTCTGTGGAAAATTCTCTCAGCAAAAATAATTTTATGGTAATAGAAAATTATGGTTTTCTTGAAATTTGAACATGAGCAATAAAAATTTTGAACATGAATTTCTTTTTTCTTAAGAGATTGACACATTGACCAATTCACCAAACAATTAACTCATAAACTCATATCAGATGGTGGCATTTAAATCTTGTTCTTAATATGAGCCTTGTAAATCAGCTTAGATAACTGGATATTTCTCAAAAAAGGATAGAATGTTGTGCTATAAAAGTGTATTTTAAAGGTATGTAAGGTGCTTGCTCAAGTTTTGTTACGCAAAAAATGTATAATTTTATTTTAATGCATACTTTGAAGGTACATACATGTACTTTCTAAAAGCTGGAACAAAGACCCACTCATGCATTGTATGTAAAAAAAAAAATGTGTTATAGTATGAAGAAATGATCATTTTTGCCCTCTTTGGTGTGTGTATGCTACTTGTAGATGTATCTTATAGATGAATAATTCAAAACCTGTGAGATTGTTAAAAATTATGGAGATTTTTACATCAAATATACACTAATGTTAATTGAAATATGGATAAAAATGTTATATAATTGAGACTTAATTTTTCACTTTCTCGTTTGTTGAACCATGGGCATTTCTCCTATCTTTTTCACCCACCTTCTTTGTATTATCATTTGATTTGTGATTGTTTCTTTGGGATTTTGATACCTCATTCTTGATTTATATTTAAAGTTATAGGTCTCCTCTTTAATAAATAAAATGCCAATAAGATTCTGTAAAATAAATTGTCAAATTAAACGTACAACACAGTGGAAAATGTTTAATTTATTTAGGTTTACTTTCTTCTTGGTATTTCCTGCACAATCATGTATTTGATAGAGTTGTTAAATAAATTTGAATCTGTTTTAGAAATAATTTTGTTTGAAAAATTTGTAGATTCAATTGCTCCAGTTCAGGGTTTTGTTAAATGAGCGTATACAGTAAAACTCGGTCATAAAGAACTCACTTATAAGGAAATCTCGGTTATAAGGAATTTTTTTATGAATCCCGTAGAGTTTGCATTTTATTCTTTATAGGGATATGAAGAATCTTGGTTTTTGTTTTCTTTGTTGTTTGACGTCCCTCAAGAATTTTTCACATATGGGGACGCCACCACTTGCCGGTGGAGGGCTGCAAATTTATACCTATACTCGGCACTGAGGGCCTTTGAGGAGTGAGGGATCTCTTTCGTGCCAACACCTACTGCGACACGGGACCTCGGTCTTTACGGTCTCATCGGAAGGACAGATCTCCACGTCCCACAGTGGGATGCGAACCCGCGACGTAAGGATCAACTTCTTATTCCGCAACTCTAGAGCAGACGCTCTAACCACTGCGCCACGCGGGCGACAAGAATCTTGGTTATAAGGAAGCAAACTTCGAGGTTCCAATGACTTCATTTTAACCAAGTTTTACTGTATCAACTTTTTATTAAGGATATCGAAGTGAATTAACTAACATGTTTTTTGAAGTTGAAAACATACCTTTGTATAGAAAATTGAGAAATATCTGCCTGTGCTCATTCTGTCTTGTTAAACTGACAACCCATTGATTTTCACCCTCTTGCCAAAAACAACGTATGACCAAAATGTAAAGGATGTTTTTATGGGTAATGGGATTACGTAAAATTCGGCAGGTTGGTTTGCAGCTAGTTATCATTAATAATTAAACCAGCCCAAGAAGAATGAAAGGCTTTAAGTCTTGCATGTCAATGTTTGAAATGCTAGCAAGCCACTAATGATGTCAGTTTCATTGAATAATTGAAAAGTAATGAAACGGCCACAAAGGAAAATGACCGGGAAATTAAAAGAAAAGTTTTCTTGAACTCCCTTAATCGATATTGTATCTTTACTCTGAATAATTTTTCTACCATGTGTAACTAGAAATGACACTAATGTTATTATAAAAACACATTTTATAGATTAAATAAATTTCTCAAAAAGGACGAAATGACTGCAGTGTTAAGAATTAACATTACTTTGATAAACCAATAAATTTATATCTTGTATCCGTGACAAACTGGCATCGTTTTTCCGGATCTAGTATTATTTTCCCGGGTAAGTCCATACCAATTAACAGATAATATTTCATGACAAAGGGAAAAAAAACCTTTTCTTCCTATATATTAAATATATTAATGACTCACCTTACAATTTTATCAGGGGTCATTTCCGTGATTTTTTTTTTTTTTTGGGGGGGGGGGGTTACTCTGAAAATCCCGGGTGGGTGGAGGATCCTGGTAATGATTTCTTAAAACATTTCTTAAACCAGAAATTTTTTACAATCTTAGTTTATATATATATATATTAACTCAAATTACACAATAATGATACATGTAGTTTCAGTATATAATAAATATGACTTTGGATGGAGTACATGTATATAGTTAATATAGAGGATGACAAAATGTTGACAAAGACCCACCCATTAACCGGCAAAAAGCTAATACTTGAATAGTAGTAATTTTATTTGGGTAAGACTGTACTTCATTACATTTAGAGTTCAAGTTTAAAGTTTGGTAAATTTTAGCAAAAGCATTTCAGACAATGTATCTTTGTTTGGAAGAATTTTTTATGAAGTTTAAGAATCCAGTATGGGTAGGGTAGATTGAACTTGGTTGATTAAAAGTATTAATTAAAGACCGAAATCTAATTATAGAGAAATTTATCCCTAGAAAGTGAACTGTGAGGTGAATATAAGATAGATTCCCTAGAATTTAGGCTTGTCACTCGTGTTATATCAAGGATTTTTTGAGAAGTATATTTTAGGTAATTACTCATTACTTATTGCACGACTTAAAATTGCAAAGAAAATTGGGGAATCAGACTCAGTGTGGGAGCAATGGTACAATTAACTTGACCTTTCTGCACTTTGATACTTTTAGGTTAATCACTTTAACCTTAATCATATTGTATCAATGACAATAATTTGTAAAATAGTTTGAATAATATTTATATGTATTATCGAAAAAATCCCGCTTACTGCGCGTAAAGTACTGTGTGACCTTTTTTCACTTCAAATTTGGGGTATTAAAAATAAAGATAGGTAATTTTTTTTTTTTTTTTTTTTTTTTTTTTTTTTTTATCAAGCTTTTTTATGACTTTAGTGCTGATTGGTTGAATGTATCGTGTAATTTAAAATAATAAAAGAAAAAGTTGGGGTCAGTGATGTAAATTTTAGGATATTGTTCAAAATATGGGATTTTCAGGCGAAAAACGATGCTAATTTTATTATTCATGATTTCTTAAATATGCCTTCATTTTTGACAAAGTCTCTGAAGTAAATGTTTAAAAATTTCTTTTAAAAATTTTAAATGAAACCTTTATTCAATATTCATAGCATATAATAGCGAAAAAAAAATTCTCCGAGTAAAAAATATATAGGGCATAAGTTGCGAGACATTAAATCAAACAAATATGTAGATTTGAAGATTTTTCTTCCATCACAAGAAAAAAGTCTCCCGTAAATCTTTTTTTACGATTTTGTGAGCAGTTTTTAAATTGAATATTGTATAATTTACATTGTTTAATTCAAATATGTCATAAAAATGTCTTGTACTAAACAATTTTGAAGTTAGAGGTTCTAACCAAACTTTTCTAAAAAAAAAAAAAAAAAAAACTGACGAGTGACATACTAAATCCAATTTCTTTCAAAACACAGTTATTAGCTCTTCTGAGCCGACGGCTGAAAGAGTTAGTATTATGGCCATTTGTGCGGTGTGCGTAAACTTGTTGAAATATGGGCCATAACTCAAGAATCCCTTGAACAATTTTTGTCAAATTTGTCACAGAGTATCTTTGACCCAAGGCTTTCATTTATCCTAAAATGGATTTGATCCTTAAATAAGGAGAAATAATTAGGGAAATAAAAACAAAAATAGTGGTTGCTATTAAATCAATATTCTGTCGCCAATTGAAAATTCGGGGCTCCCTTTATTAGTCCCCTACCGGTGAAACCGGAGGGGACTATAGGTTTCCTCTGAGTCTGTCCGTCTGTCCGTCTAGCTGTCTGTCTGTCTGTCAGTCTGTCCCACTTGGTTTTCCTGAATGCTTGCAGATATTGAGCTGATTTTTGGTATGTGAGTGTATCTTGATGAGTTACAGATCAATTGTACATTTCGTTCCGCTTCAATGATTTTTGACGGAATTACGGCCTTTTCAATTTTTAAGGGTTTTCAGCAATTTTCTTCTAAACGTCTTCAGATATTGAGCTGATTTATGGTATGTGACTTTACCTTGATTAGTTATAGATCAAGTTTGCATTTCGTTCCGCTTCATTGATTTTTGACGGAATTATAACATTTTCAATTCTTAACGGGAACAAGATTACACTTGCCGGTAGGGGACTAGTATTGCTAATGCAATACTCTCAGAATGCTTGTTTATTATGCCCCCCCCCCCCTTCGAAGAAGGAAGGGCATATTGCTTTGTTGCTGTCTGCCTGTCGGTCTACCTACAGTTTCTGTTCATTTTCTTCGCAGATTTTGCACATAGAGAAATAAATTTCCTATACAGATTTTTCATAAGAATATCTAGGTCAAGTTATGTTTTTGGTACGATCGAGCAATTTTTGACAGAGTTATTCCCCTTGGACTTAGAAAAATTCCATTGGGGGGGGGGGGGGATAATTGTTTCACAAACATCTCTTGTTATCTTTTAAGATGCTTGCTTTTAGGTCCGCCGGTCGTCAATTTCAACTATAAATAACATAGTACTAATGACACATCCAGAGAGAATGTAATTAAAAGAAGTCATCACTCAAGAGTAATGAAAAACTTAAAAATATGGTGAAATTCAAGAATAAACTTTTTAAGTCACCTTAGTTGACCTATACTAGTATTGCTATCTGTTTTCATCCGTCGTCGTGCGACGTGCGTTAACATTTTCAGCTTCTTCTCTGGAACCACTAAATCGATTTCAAACAATTTTGGCATAAAACAACAATAAGTGAAGGGGAAATCATGAGTTTCATGGTTCCTGCCCCCCTGTGGCTTTAGAAATAGGGCTAAAATCATCAAAAATAGTGCTATCTTTAAAAATCTTCTTTACTCCTGGACATCAAGCAGTCAAACTGTTGGCATGACTGTAATGTATACGGTGAATCTTCTACCAAAATAGTGAATTCATGGCCCCAGAGTCAAAGGTTCTTGAGTTAGGTGGGGCTCTAATAATCATATAGTAAAAATGCGTAAATTCTTTAAAAATCTTTTTTCTATCCCCACTGTATATATTAAAATAAGATAAACTAGGTGCATGATTATGATAATCAAGGGTGCATCTTCTAAAATTGTGAACTCCATGGGCTCCTGGTGAGGGGTTCTACGGGGGGGGGGGGGGTCTGTGGATTACATAGTGAAAATGCATTTATGCTTTAAAAGTATTCTCGGTTCTTTTGTATTAAGCAAAAAAAAAGGTATTTAGTTATCATGAGTAAGGGTGCATCTTCAAATATTGTGAATTTCATGGCCCTTTGGTCAGGGGTTCTTGCGCTAGGACGGGGCTCTATTTATTATATAGTGAAAATGCATTAATTTTTTGAAAATCTTTCCCTCTGCTCCTGTATATCATGCAAACAAACTAAGTACATAATAATGATGAGTAAGGGGTGCTCCTTACAAAATTT